TGTTGTTGTTGTTGTTGTTGTTGTTGTTGTTGTTGTTGTTGTTGTTGTTGTTGTTGTTGTTGTTGTTGTTGTTGTTGTTGTTGTTTGTTGTTGTTGTTGTTGTTGTTGTTGTTGTTGTTGTTGTTGTTGTTGTTGTTGTTGTTGTTGTTGTTGTTGTTGTTGTTGTTGTTGTTGTTGTTGTTGTTGTTGTTGTTGTTGTTGTTGTTGTTGTTGTTGTTGTTGTTGTTGTTGTTGTTGGGGGGGGCGGGGGGGGGGGGTAAAAATGGTTGCCTCCTTGGGTCTCCCCTTGAACCAACAACCAGAAAAGAGACCAGGGTTTATTTTGAGAAGCCTCCAGAATATTGGCAAAAGCCTCTAACAAGAACACTCCACGCTTTCCCTGAGATGCCAGCCGCCTGTGCAGCTTTCTCCGCTTTCTCAGCGGCCTTATCACTCACAAAATCCCAAGAGGTTCAACCATGCTGTTGCCGGCATGTCGTTGCAACACCTCTTTGCCGAAGATCTCATGGCATAGTCACTCAACCCCCCGCCTTCGCCTTTTCCGCGGCAGCTTTGGCCTCGGCCTAATGCGCCGCGCTAGCGTACATGTGTCAAAGGTCGCAGGGTCCTGGGCTCTCCGTTTTCTGATCGCCTCGAAGCTTAACTTGCGCCCCCCCAGAGCCTCTCTCAGAGGCCCCCCACTAAAAGGCTAAAAGGCTGGGAACCACCAAAGGGTCAAGCCAAACATTCGGCTTGTGGCTCGGGTGATGCATGGCGTAGAGTCGTCACTTGCGCTCTCAGCGCATAGGCGCCCGGCGGCTTCCTCCGCTGCGCTGAACACCACTAGGCGTTCCAGCCCCACCCTGGCACGCCAAGCACAAGAGACGGAAGGTATCACACCATCAGGGTCCTCTCAGCCATCCAGGTCAAATCTCAGGCGATTGCGCGGGCCAACGCACACACACAACCCACGCTTTCACCGCGCCACATCCATCGCATCCAGCAACTGCGGCCTGCGCATCACTTCCCTCACCTGCTCTCGGATCTTGGCCTGGCGCCATTGCGCAATGCTCACATGGCTGTGGTGGTCAAAATCCAAAGCCCGTACCCCCAGTGAACATCCCAATCCAACCACTAAAATAGGTTCTAAAATGGGTGGTGCACCTACCAACCAAAATGGGATCCCATTGGTTTTGACCCACAGCCACATGGAGCGAACCAACCGGAGCAGCCACGGCAGCTCTCTTGTCCCAAAGCAAAGCGGACCAGCGACTGCAGCTGCAGATCGTCCTGGGGAGTCACCTCGCAGCCCGCTCGCACTAAACGCTAAACGCGACGCGCGAGCGCGAACACCCGTGCCGCAATGCCTCGCCACGTTCGCGCTTGCGGGGGAAACAAAAAAAAACACGCGAAGAGCCCGAGCCCGACCCATGCCGAGAGCTCGAAACTCGTCTCTGGCCAGGGCACAGGATGGCTGGGCCCCGCATCCCAGCGCTCCGTCTTAGCTGTGCTCAAAGAGCTCAGCAGCTCGCATTGCGTCAGCAAGTCCTGGCATGTCCCGATGTTGCAGAGATGGGTATTGACCACAGAGTTTGTTTAGGCCTTTCCATTTACCAGGGCTTAAGCCATTTTGGGGTTACCAACTTGTTGACAGCCCACACCATCTCTTCAAAAGCGCCCCCAAACTCTCAGCTTGCCTTCAGCTGCAGGCAGTGGCGCGGCCGCGCAGGAAGCTGCAACGGTGCCCAATGCCCAGCACTCCTGCCTCACAAGAAACCTATGGGTCAAGCCTCTTGATGTTGACCCCATATGCATCAACAGTTTAGTAATAGGGGGGGGTGTCTGATCCCCCCCTAAAATCAGGGACACCCCCTGCGAAATCCATTTCGCAGCACGAATTGAAGCCAGTACGTCTGTTGGTATTTAGCCGGGCAATCGAAACCCGTTAAGTAGGTGGGTTTCCTTTTGCAGGCCACCCCCAAGCAAAACGAGGGGACACTCAACAAAAGACACAAGTCCGGCAAATCCGGCAAAATCAGGCCACGGGGTCAGGGTCTAAGTGCTGACAGGCCGCAAATGTCCATGGCTGCCTGCAGGGCCACAGCGCTGCTAGATCGTGTGGACCGCCTGTGATCCAGCCGCGGGGGGGTCGCGAAAAACAGAAGAGAGAGAGAGAGAGAGAGAGAGAGAGAGAGAGAGAGAGAGAGAGAGAGAGAGAGAGAGAGAGAGAGACGCCCATGTTGAATCGTGCACACTAGTTTTTGTGTTCCTCCGCATGGGAGAAAAACAAATTGAGTGGCATGCAGGGAAAGCAAGATATGTGTCCATACTTCGGCGCTTTTTGGCCGGGAGGCATGTGAGCAAGCAGCTGCAACGAGCTGCGCCACTGCAGAGCGGCGCTCAATGCCTCCAAGCAGCTGCGGAAACCTTGGCTCAGTCGACAAACAATTCTCCGAAGGAACCGTCTGGTCTAGTCAAGTTGAATTGAGTCCTGATCCTAAGAGACTAACTTGCGTAATTACTCAACCTTCTTCTCAGTGTATGGACCAAAAAAGCTCCCAAACTTTCCCCATTTGCCGCTAAGATGCTCCAACCCCAAAAAGTGGCTGAAGTCCAGGAGCTCCGAATGTAGCGAGCTCTTTCCGTCTATGATCTTTTGAGCTGCTTTGACGCGAGCCAGTTCTCTGATTCTATTCTCCTTTGAGCTGCATTGATGTAGAGGCTCCCTGGTTTTCCCAAGATTGCCAGCCTCACGCGGACGGAAACGAGGAGCTGATGACATCCGGCTCCATCTCCTCCAGCCGTGCAAGCGCTGCCTCCCAGCATGCCGCCGAGGCCAAACAGGCGAGCAGCGCATTTTGGGAGACCTCAGGTGAGTCATGATCAAAAACCGTTATTAAGATGGTCGTAATCCCACGGCCATGTAAAGCATTATGAAGGCGTTTGTCCGCAGCTATTTATGGCAAGGTCCCTTACTAGCCTTCATCTACCCGGGTTTTGAGCACGTGGCTCTGCTTTCAGCTTTATCAGGGTGAGGAGGTCAACCGGGCGTGTAACAGTGTAACTCCGTGTGGCCTTGAAAGCAGAGCTTTCAAACAAAGAGCTGAGACAGCACGTCAAGCCAAGCAACCAAATCAGGAGTCAGCATCTCCTGCTTCATTCGGCCCAGCAGGCACAATGCCAGCTGCCATTGCGCTCCCTTACCGCCTTGGAATCGGCTTAGGCCACTCTCAGAGAGCCTTCCTTTGGGAAGATGGTGTCGCTCTGGGCGCCCGACATGCGCTGATGCCGGCATTGAACGCAATAGTGCTGGCACGGACTGACTCCTCCTGCATGTCCTCCATCCCAGGATTCCACTTTTTAGGCCTAAACCCAGGAATGGTTTCCCCCAAGGGGAAACCTGGTTGAAGTCGACCTTGGGGTCCAAAAGTGGAACCCTGTCCTGATCCAAATTCTCTGCCTTGATCCAAACCGTCGCGCCAATCGCGCGGCACCCCAGGCGACTAGGACTCGATCCCAAACTGTCTCGGTTGGGGTTCCTCTTGGCGTCCCTTTGAACCCGCACCCAAAAGAATACCAACGCAAAAAAAAAAGAGGCACATATTGTTTAATATATGCGTGTCAAAATTGAACCACCACGATTTGGAACGCAGATTTCGTCCGTTCCATCTACCAGGGCGAGCAATGTTGGGGCTCTCCGATTTCTGATCCACGGACATATGGCCATGAATTTGAATAAGGAACTAGCTCTAAAGTGGTTTCACCACATGTTCTCCACCACTGGATCCCTTATGAAGATTCACACCCATATAGCCATGGGTCAAAATCCAAATCGTACCCCCAGTGAACATCCCAATCCCAACTAAAATAGGTTCTAAAATGGGTCGTGCACCTACCAACCAAAATGGGATCCCAAAACGGTTCTGACAACCACAGCCATGTCTCCTGCAACAGCTGCAGCGCTGTCTCCCACTGGTTGCAGCTCTCGCAGGCGCTGATGGCGGACCCGCAGCTGTGCTCCGAAGTCAGCCGCTGCCGGCGCAGCACTGAGGCAAATGGGAGGCGGGTGGGAGGCAGGTGGGGGGGTTGGACACAAAGAATGGGGCAAGCTGAGACATCTGGTAATTTAAGCCCAGCATCCAGCCAGCAGCTGTAACGCGGACTGCCAGCGGCTCAGCTTGTGGCAGGCACTGATGACCCTGCAAGCACTCTCTCTCACATTGACACGCGCAACTATGAATCGACCACATTCGAGAATGCGAAAGAGCGAAAGAAACCACTTGGCTGAAGGCAAACCCAACACGGCCCAACTCCGCTGTACTCAATGCGCATGCTTGAGTCAGCCAGACTGAAGACCAGATGCGGGGTGGCCGTTGATTGGACATGCTCCAGTCATCCAAATTAATGGCTATTCGATCCAAGCCGCACATTGTATGAGAGGCTGTCCGGCTGCATTGTTCGACGATGCCTTGGGGAACAAAGGCAAGCGCAAGTCGGCGGGTATTAAAATGGGGAACCTGCGGACTAGTGGGCTGTCATCAATTGATACTGGACAAGGCGTTGGGGGCTCCCCATTTGGAGGAGACAGACCCTGACGCGGCATAGAATCATAGAATCCCATGGGCCCATGGAGGGCAACTTGCAGTTCTGGCGCAGATTGTATCAGACGCAAACGAGCAGATTCCTGCATCTCACTCAAGCAGATGCCAGGACTGTCACCAGTCCAACTTCGGCCATGTGGCCATGGGCCAAAAGCCAAATCGTACCCCCAGTGAACATCCCAATCCCCACTGAAATAGACTAAGCTGAGAGGTGCACCTACCCCAAAGTAGTACCATTGCTTTTGACCCACAGCCGTTTATCCAGCAGCTCCCCCCCCCCCCCCCGAGCCTCTCGTTCCCAGTTTTCGCCTTTCTGCCACGCGGCAGCGCCTGCAGCAGCGCTGCTGCGCTCTGCCACTCTGAGGCACGATGACAGGCAGCCATGGCCTGAGAGGTACCAGGCGACCAGGTGCCGGCTGGCTGCTGGCGTTTGCTGGAAGCTGAGGTGACTTGGGGAACCCGGTACTAAAATGGTCTACCCAGAACCAGGTAGAGAATTAAGAAGACGGATATCCGCAGCTATTTATAGTTGCGGATTGTCCCTTACTACCGTTCATCTACCCGGGTTTTGATTGTGGCTCAAGTGAGTAATTCCTCCCAAGCTGCTGAGTTGAAGGAGATGAGGTTCGCATCACCCTCCAAGAAGAGCAGCGCCACCCTGCAAAACCCCGAGCTGCCCGGACAACGCGATCAGTGCTCCAATGCGAGTATTGATCAAAACCTGGCATTAAACATAGCCTACCCAAAACCATGGGAAGAATCAAAAAAGCGGCTTTATGGCACACATTTCCGGCAAAGGAATTCTCCCTTACCTTCATCTACCCGGTTTTCAGTTTTGAGCTTCGTGGCTCAAATGGGCCTGAAGCCAAGGTACTGCCACTGAGCACCGGTGGCGAGAGCGCTAATGGCGCTGTTGTGACTGACCTGGTCGTGCTGAAGCCGGGCCTGCCAGGAAAGATGCATCTGCACTGGTCATTGGTCGACATGGGTGTCTTTCTTTAGGGGGTCCCCAAAATGGTGGTTTTCCTTTCGGCGTCCCCTTCAAGACCAAACAAAAGGGGTATCTTCAACAAAGGACAGACCCACATCCGCCCCCTTCGCCTGCTCCATGTGGTCATAAACTCGCAGCGCCAGCTGCCATTGTTGGCCCGTGTCACATGCGCTCACTGCTGCGTTGAAGCTGACCACATCTGGCTGCAAATGCACCGAAACCATCTCCTCCGGCCAAAGATGACCCATACAAGATGGCAAGTGGGCATGTGATCCAACAAAAATATGTTTTTGCCATGCGCTCTCCTGCAATAGTCCCAAAGCAGCTTGCCACTGGAAACCGCGCTCCTTGTGCCACTGGCGCACTGAATGCATTCGCGAGACAAGAAAGAGATGCGAACTTGCTTGTTGAATCGTTGCAATCCCTTCCATCTGAACGAGCGTCGCAGGCACTGATACAGGCGTTGTAACCTTGGATCGCTTGTGGTGCAATCGGTCAAGCAAGACCGCCGAATCACATGTCAAGGTATCCAGCCAGCACATGCCTTGAAACCAGAAACAACCTGAACGAAGTCCACTTGAGTCACAATCAAAACTCGGTACAAAAATGGTCTACCCAGAAAATGTAAACAACTTGTAAAGAACCATGTAAAGAACTTAGAAGGCGGCTATCCGCTGCTATTTATGGCAAGGGGATCGTCCCTTACTAACCTTCACTTACCCGGGTTTTGAGCACGTGGCTCACTTCGTGACCTTTCTCCGAGTCGGAGCTCATTCCATCCGAGTCGCTGTGGCCGTTCAACACCCGAGGCGGTGCCTGTGAGAGCAGCTGTAGCGCCAGCTGCCAAAGCCCCCGCGCAGCAGCGCTGATGGCCGTGCCTCACGTGAGAAGACGAAACCACCTACTTGCTGGTTCCATGGAACGATAAAATGGCATGACCCCGAGAAAGACCCATCCCCGACTTCTGACTTGGTCTCCTTGAGAATCCCCCCAACAGTGTCGAACCCCGAATGAAATTCCCAGAGAGACTTCAATCAAGCTCAACTTGGCTCCTGGGTGGTTTTGATGGGTGCAAGACCGTCAAGACGCCCTTGGACACCCGGGTGGCACTCGGCTTTGCTGCTCCGTTGCTCCAGGTCACAGCGTCTGCTGGCAGCAGCTTGTCATGCATGGTGTCCAAAAGGGCGTGCGCCTGCTGCCAGCAGGCGCCTGCATCTTCGCAAACAATTTTAGAGACGTGGCTCAGGGATTCCGAGCCCACGGGAACCTGCTTAAGCCATGCTGCCCGGATCACTTGGGAGGAAATGAAGCCACGGATACGCTCGCTGTCCCGAAGCTCAATCAGCCCGGCCTTGCTGATATGCATTCATGACGGCGTTGTAGGTGACAACGTCCTTGCCGAGTCTCCGAGTCTCCGAGTCTCCGAGTCTCCGAGTCTCCGAGTCTCCGAGTCTCCGAGTCTCCGAGTCTCCGAGTCTCCGAGTCTCCGAGTCTCCGAGTCTCCGAGTGCCTGTTCACTCGCTCCACTCAGGTGAAACGTCTGGCCAAGGTTCCGTGACCACTGTGGCCTTCTGCATCTTTTCCAGCAGCTCGGTGGCTGCATCCCAGCGAAATCCCTGGTGCATGCAGAGCTGCCCCAAATCTGAAAACATCATGGTAGCTTTGGTGTTTTCAAGCAACGAGTGGCTTCCTTTGAGGATCGCATTCTTACAAAAGGCCCCTTTGAAAACATCCCCGGATTCTCCCTGGATGCTGGCCTTTGCCATGGAGGTGATGGTGGTGTTGAAAGCCTTCGCAACGGCTGGCGTGCTTTGACCATCCATCCCTCTCGGGCACTCTCAGTCAGCGGCTATGGTGTCTTGTCGCACGCGGCGCTGCTGCATCTCCTAAGAGACATCATCTGCACGTGCTCCAGAAGAACCGCTCTACGACAACCAAAAAACTCAATGAACAACATCTTCATCGATTGGCAACTTGGCTCCATAGACTTGACCACCAAAAAGAAACCAATGAAACACATCTTCATCGATTGGCTCCACAGACTTCGCGATTTTCGCGCCTACAACATGCCCCGAGGTGCGCTTTCGCGTCTTCCCGTCCTCGAGGATGGCCAGCGCCTGAACCCACCGCGCCGCTTTGGCGCACGCGGCGATGCAGGCGTTGAAGGTCACCGCGCTCACCTCGGATGCATGGCTGGCTGCTGGGAGTCTCGACAAAACCCTAGATATGGCCATGGGGCATAACCTGCGAGCGAATGCCAGGTGGAAACCAATGGTACCATTTTGGGGTGGATGAACATCCATTTGCCACCTATTTTGATGTTCACCAGGGGTTCAGGGTTTTGACCCACAGCCATATTCTTGCTGGTGCTCAGTATGAGGGAAGGAATCCAGGCTTTGGTCCCCTTAAAGGAAACCAGTTGGATGGTGTACAAGGGTCGCTCCATTCCTCTTTCCCTGCATCTCTCGCACCAACCGAGTTTTTGCGACGCAAACCCTGGCCCGGGCGTGACGGACTCCAAAGCGACTCCTCGCGCTGTCGACTTGAGACCTTCGACCGTTTTTTCGCGCCTGGTGAAGGGTGCTGAAGAGCTGCAGCGCCTGCTGCCATCTGCCCTGATCCGCGAGGGTGCTGAGCACCACGTTGCCTCGTCCCACACTCAGCGACTCTCTGCAAGCTGAAGTGTCGCGGAAACGTCGGAGCGTTTGGGCATGGAATAACCAAGAAGCTGTCGCATGCTTGCTGCTGTTGTGAAGCATCACAGACTTCCCGCAACTCGGAAGCAAGCCAGCATCCTGATGCGAAGAGCCTGACGTGCCAAGGCGCAGTGAATCAGACTCGGCGGGTGGTCGAACAAGCCTGCCGAGGAACAAAGAACGCACCAGTGCAAGACCGAGCAAGAAGAAGCAAGCCAAGACACCCAGGTACTGTGGATGGTTTCGCGAAATCCATTTCGCAGCGTTCAGAAAGCCAACGCTTTCTGATTTTTTCTGCATAAATACCAACCACTACGGCTTCATTCCCATGGCAAAACTCATTTCGTGGCGGCGAGTGACTCGCGGATTTCGCCCAGCCAGCCACAACTTGCATGTTGACCCCATCTTCATCAACCCGAGTGTATTAATATCAGGGTGTCCCTGATTTGAGTGGGGGATCCGACACCCCGGGTCATGGGTCAAAAGCCAAATCGTACCCCCAGTGAACATCCGATTCAATCCAACCACTAGAATTGGTTCTAAAATGGGTGGTGAATTCACCTACCCCAAATGGGATCCCACTCCCCCAAATTCGAATATGGTGATGCTTGTTTGGCTTGAACAGCTTGTTTGCCTTTGTTCCCCCAAGGCTTTTACCACAGCCAACTCACTTCGTGGCGGCGAGTAACGAGTTCGGATGACTCGCCCCACGAGTCGTCGAGTCGTCGACGAGTTCGGTCGCCTGCCAGCGCCGCCTCCCAGGCGCGGAGCCGCCGCAGCTGCAGCAGCTGCCGCGTGCGGGCCTTGGCTCGCTGCTCGTAGCTCAAGGCCCGGGTGAACCACTCCAGGTGGGTGGTGCCGTAAAAAAGGGGGAAAGGGTTTGCCTCAACATAGGGGAACGCCAAACTGGTCGGCTTCCTAGATTCCCTTTTAAGAGGATACCTGGATCGCCAGTTGCGAACGTTTTTTCCATGCACTTTACGCCAAAAAAACAGCAAGAGTGAGTGAAAAAAGCTGCAACTTTGCTATCTAGGGACCCCGAAAAACGGTGGTGGCCTTTTCATTTACCATTCAAAGTTGGCCCCAAAAAGGGTTCCCCGCACCCAAGTAGTGCTTGAAGTGCTTGCGCACAGTTCGATCACCCAAGACTGTCCAAGATAGGTGGCACTTTTGGATCAAAACCAAAGAAGATGCATTGGCTGGGCGTCCCGACACGCAGCTTTTGCCAGGACATCGTCGCCTGAGCCAAGTCAGGTGTTTGTCAGAGAGATGGATGGATTTCCGGACGTTTCAGACACATGTCTCTCAAACGACGGGACCCTCAAAACTGGCGATTTTCCTTTTGTTCCCCGTTTTTGCAGCCACCCCATTCAAAGGTCCGCACCAAAAGAAAAAGACCCGCATCGACACATCTCAGGGCCAAGACACCTGGGCTCATGTTTTCTCGCGGGCGCAGCCAAGGCCAGTGGCTGGCGAGGCCAAGCACCGCCTTGAATTACTTCTGGCAGACACCCTCAAACCCCGCGGTTTGTGACAGACTTCTTGTAACAGAACTTGTTTTCCTGAGGCTTGCATTCCCCGATTTGAAGTGGTTCCACAAAGATGTCCCTGAGTCCTTTCTGCCACCTGTCTACATCCTGAGATGGCTGCAGCATAAATCTTTCATTCGCATGCCCTAAACTCGTTGCCGTGCAGGTCGGGATTTGCAGCCCTAAAGAATCCTTCGGGGCACTTTTCGTTCGGGGGCCTTTCCTCGAAGTTTTGCGCCAAATTGACGATGGTCCAGAATTACGAGAGAGTGCTGACTTGGTTGGGACTTAAAAGCAAGTACCCGAATGGAACCCTGGTTTCGTGGAACCAAGGACTGAGACCTGCGGTTTGGCGGGTTAATTTTGACCCACACCCAACGGGCGAACGGGGCCCCGAGTCAAAAAAGAACCGCACCTCAGTGAGCTTGAAGGCCTCCACTAAGGCGTGCGCCGGCGTGGAGTCCTCGCTCAAGCGAGGCGAGAAGACGCCACCCCCCCCGCCCGGTGGCCCGGGTGGAATCCACGAAACCCAAACTAAAAACCAACCAAAAACCGAGCCACAGCTAAGGGGATGGCTGGGAACAAAGGAGTGGATGGGAAAAAATAAGCTGAGGTATCCCCAAGCGACAGCCGGAGCTGAAGAAGGGGAGAAAGACGAAGCGATCTTGTAAAGGCTGCCGTAGAAAACACCGTCAAAATCAAAACCGATTCGGTAGAATGGTCGACCCAGAACCATGGCAAGGGGATTGTCCCTTAACCTTCATCTACCCGAATCGGTTTTGAGGAAGTGGCTCACCTGAAAATGGGTATGGCGAAAAATTGACACCTCCATCGCAAGCGCATCGGCAGTTCTCAGAGAAACTCCCCGCCTTGAAGTCCTTTGCCTTCGGCGGCTCGGGCACCGCGGACGCCTGGATCTCCGCATCTTTTGCGCCGCTTGGATCTCTGCCCGGAAGCGAAAGAGCTCAAAACCCGGGGGCCACAACGGCAAAGACTCCGGGTGATGTGCACAACGGGCAAAAACTCCGGGTGATGTACTCAGATGTACTCTTTCTCCATTGAGTGATTCAGAGCCCAATGTTTGTCCTTCACACCTCGCACCCCCAAACTTGGAAGGGAATCCGGAGTCTGACCAGCGAAGAACAAAGCCTCCTCGAAAGCGTCTTGGAGCAGCTTGAAGTCTTTGCAGCGCTCCATGTATTCTGCCCTGGCAGGAGGCACCGGGGGGGGGGGGGGGGTGGACCAGACGCGAACAAGAATCCACGCATCTGAAGCACCCCCCACGGTGCGCTACGCCAGAAATTGACCAACAAACCCCTCTGTGCTCACTTGTCACTTGTGGCGCTTGTCAAAGGAAAGTCGATCAGGTGATCGAAGGTCAAAATACCAGTATGTTGTGCCATACGGGACGTGGAAAAAAATGAGTGAATGCCCAAGTTCGAATTTTAAGAGAGAGAGAGAGAGAGAGAGAGAAAGAGAGAGAGAGAGAGAGAGAGAGAGCGAGCGAGCGAGCGAGCGAGCGAGATTGTCCCCCGTCCTCTTGAATTCACAATAAACTATCTCGTCTACCCGCATCTGAAACAGATTGCTCTCTCACACAAATGATTGGATCGCAATGGACCCAGCCTCTGCTCCGGCGACATCTTCGGGCAGCAAATGCGTGGATGCGAGGTATTCCCGCAAATGGGGCAAACACCTTGGAGCAGATTGGCGAGTCAACACCGTCCACAAAGGCTGCAACGGCCAGGCAGCTGACGCTTGTAGCTGGTCTTGTCCTTGCCTGACAAATGCTCGGAAGCTCGAGCCAATGCCCCGGATGTACTGTGAATGCCCTTCAAAAGGTCCTTTCAACGATGGGGTGACCATCAGGGAAACCACACAAAAGGATGAACTTCACCATGGTCATTTGGGGGCCCAACGGAATGTTGATCCACCACACGGCAACTCAAAATGGCTTCCCCAAGCCCACGTGTTCAGCGCTCGCCTTCCTCCTTCGACCTCTCCGTCGACTTCTCCGCGGGCAGAGGGCACTGCTTGATCTGACCCAAACGACCATCCGGGATACGTCAAACGCTGGACATTGCAACATGCATTGCAGCGCGTCTCCTATCTGCAGGAATGCAAATCTATAATATTGGGTGCATATATATATATATGTATCATGTGAGCCAAACCGTCCCTGCCCAATCACCCCGGCAGTCATTTCGCAGGCTCGCGACCCGCACCTGCCTTGTGCCCAGGGAAATGGCAGTTGGAACCTTGAAAAGGCAAGCACGCTTTCCGGCGTTTAGTTTCGTGGTACCCCCACCGCCACCACAACCAACTCAAAACCAACTGAAAACCTCAACCCTCCCCCCCCAAAAAAAAAAAGGACGGGCGGTTCACCAGCAGACCCGAACCGCCGCACCGCCGCATCGCCGCGGCGACTCTGGGCGCTTCGGCAGGTCTCGATCGGCAGCTTTAGGGACTCCACCGACGGCGCCGCCGCCTGTGACTGCGGGAGTCCACGTGCAGCTCAGTGAACATCCGATTCGATCCAACCACTAAAATAGCTCAGACGGCCATCCCGATCCCCAAAATAGGTTCTGAAAATGGGTGGTGAATTCACCTACCAACCAAAATGGGATCCCATTGCTTTTGGCCTTTCTAGTTTCATGTTGAGCCATATGACCGTGGGTCATAACCTATGCCTTCACTTTTGGGGCGGATGAACACCCATGTGCCACCGATTTCGATGTTCGCCAGGGGTACAGGGTTTTGACCCACAGCTCAGATGTGCCTTCCCTTTGAAACTGAACAGTAATCCCCAGTATGGGGGAGATTTCCAGAGATGATTCCTCCCAACTTGGTCGATGTCCCTTCCCTTCGCAAACGAGACCTGATGCGACGAAATCGAGTCTGATATGTTTTCAGGCCAACAGGTGGGTACCAAAAAAACATGGCGAGCGCTTAGAGGCAAACATGCTTGACAAACAGAAACCCGCCCGTGCCTTCTTGCCGACCAAGGCCTGGCCAATATCCTGACACAAAATGTCCAGCGGCATTCTCCAAATCAAAGAGATTCTCCCACTTGCGGCTGCTTACTCGATCAGGACAAGAGAAGTAACCAATTGAAGCAAGGTCTGCTGTACTCTCAAAACTGCAGGAGAGCCAAGAGATGGAAAATCCGCCACATTCTGGTATTCCCGCTTCCAACAAGAGCACAACCGACTGCAATGCCTGCACACTCTGCTGGGAGAGGTTGACTCTGTAGATCCTGGCAGGTTGCAGGGTCGGATCGAGGTGTCTCACGCACTGCAATTGCGTGTTGTGGACCGTGGAGCTGTGAATGGCGTCGAATTTCAGCAACTGGATGTCTCTTTTTTGAGGGTATCCCTTTTTTGGGGGCGTTTGTTTTGAAGGAAACCAAACGTCAGCCACCCATCCGTTTGGGCCCCCTACACCAACTGGACAATCGAAGCGGAATCTCTTCGGCCGGGCCCACCACTTGCCACGGAAGATCTTTGGCCACAGGGACTCCGCGGCGTGTTCTACGCGAGTTCTGGCACAGCGAGAGTGGAGCTGAGCAAACTCTTTTCTGTCATGTCAGACCAGTCAGGAAATAATAAAAAGAATAATAGTAATAATAATAAAAGTAATTACAATAATAATAATAATAATCATAATAATATTTTGTTTTTAAAAAAAAGAGTAATTATAATAATAATAGTAATTATAATAATAATAATTATAATAATAATAATAATCATAATAATAAATAACAAAATAATAATAATAGTAATTATAATAATAATAATAATAATAATAATAGTAATAATAATAATAATAATAATAATAATAATAATAATAATAATAATAATAATAATAATAATAATAATAATAATAAATTAATAAATAAATAAATGAATAAATAAATAAATAAACAATAAATAAACAGTAAATAAGTATTATAAAAAAAAAAAAAAACAATAATAATAATAATCATAATAATAAATAAATAAATTAATTAATAAATAAATAAATAAAATCATAATAATAATTACATAAATAAATATATAAATAAATTTAAAAAAAAAAAACTAATAATAATAATAATTATTATTATAATTATAATAAGAATAACAATAATAATAATAATATGCTACAAGTAAACAAACCAGTGATTTGCCAAAAAAATGCATCACACGTGAATTTGCGCTGATGTCGAAGCCATTCCGTTCCATTCAAGATTCACCAAGGTGACCAAAGCAACATCTCCAGCCTCCACTTGACAAGCTCTTGAGATAGCTGCTGCCTGGCAAGCATTCAAGGCAAAGCCGTGAACGCGAGGCCTCTAGTCCCTTCTCCCAGCCTCTCATGCTCCAGCAAGAAAGTCTTCATACGCCTTCTTGCCTGCAAGAAGACCCATGGGCTCGTGATTCTTTGGTGGGTTTACTGGAAACCCAAAAGGAAAACCCACCCATTGCTTGGATTCCCCGAAAAATAGACCCCCCCCCTGATGTGTGATGTGAACTGCGCCGTACTGCCGTTTCTGCCTGCCTCCTCCTCAGCTTGCCGCTTCTTCCTGGCTTCACAGACGCACGCTGAGGCTGAAGGCTAAAGGCCAAAGCCCTCCCGTGAACCTCCCGCTACACAAAGCTGAGGCGCGTGGTCTCCAAATTCCTCTTCTCCTCCAGCGCAGCCCGCTTCTTGGCATCCTGAAAGCTTCAAGCCGCTGGGGGTAGGCGTGCCGCCGCACTGCGCTTTCGCGCGCGCCTGCTGGACCGCCAGCTCTTCCTCTCTCCTCAACGAAAGGTTCATGGCAACGACCCTCAAGCACTGCGAAGTCCCCCCAGTTCTTGAGGGTGCATGGCTTCTTGACCCCTTTCAGATCGGAGACCGAAAAAGGAAAGGACCAAAAGGGAAACCATCCCAATTCTTTTCGGGTCTCCGGTTTGACACCTTCCCACACCAGGCTCGCGATCCCATCTGCAAAATCCGTCTCTGAGCTGCCGGCATGCGCAATCTGTTCTGCTGCTCCTCAAGGGTGCGGCAGCTGTTGCACTTGAAGAAGATCATCTTCTGCGGCCTGGCGACAGCCCATCGGGTTTGAAGGGTGGGAGAATGGTCTTCGGATCTCTCCGCGGATTTTCGGATGAGGACAAACACATCGCTTTGGGCGCAGATATGGCGCAGATTCTGCAGTGCTGAGGCGACCGCGAAGTGTTCCAGCCGCGATTTTTCATCTCCGTCCAGAACCTCTCTGGCGGATAGACCTCCAAGGCTGGTAGGCTGACCAGAAGTTTAACTTCTAGTGGTTCAATGGAAAACCGATGAGTTGGCAGAAAGTTAGAGTCCTAACACCCAGAGATAGGACTCCGATTTGAGGCCGTCGCCCGCCGGAAGTTCGGCGGGAAGCAGTCGTAGCACAACGCAGAGGGGCACTCCAGGCCTGACAACGCTGCAGCAGCTTCAGACATACTAATACTGTGGCTGGACGGAATGCATTTCTCAGCACGAATGAGTTACCATGGTTGAGACCATAGCTTCTGTTGGTATTTACCTTGGAGAATCGAATCAGACATCAGGGTTCCTTAGTAGGTGGTGCGAGAAGCAAATGGACTTCGCGCAACCATCCACAGGGCCCTTTTGCATCCATCCGCATGCCAAGCTCGGCACAGTGGATGAGCATGCCGCCCACATCCGAGGCCCCTCGGCCTAAGCATTCCGAGGTCACCCGCGGGCTTTTGTTTCGCCCAGGGGTCTTTTTGCCCCCCTTTTGCGAGAAAATGGGTGAACCGGCAGTCCGCGCGGAGGTCACTCGCGGGGCTTCACCCAGGGAGGTCTTTGTTTCCCCCCTTTGGCGAGAAAATTGGCGACCCCAAGAAGGAATCCTTCACTGCGAGGTCGATCATTTGCCCACAGGCGGCAACAGGAGCCCCTGGGTTTCGCCCAGCTCTGCAGGCTCCGGCGGCACTGGCTGCAGTAGTGCCACGTGCAGACCTGGGAGACTCGAGGGTATTAAAATGGCTGACCCAGAACCAGGTAAAGAAATAAGAAGGCGGATGTCCGCAGCTATTTATGGCAAGGGGATTCTCCCTTACTAACCTTCGTCTGCCCGAATCGGTTTTGATTGTGGGTCACGTGCGCAACGGCAAGGCGCGCTTTGAGTCTGGCCCTGGTCTAAATCATCCTGGTCAGGTGGATGCAGAAGCTCAAAGCACTTGGTTTGCGGCCCAGTTCTTCTTCAGCTCTCGCGCATGAGGAGGAAGGCAGCGACGGTGGTACCTCCCACTTGGACCCGTGCAGTTCAAGCCTTTGACAAGGGTTATGGGTTCTGGGGGCGTCATTAGGGGGAGTTCTTGACACATGAAAGCCTGGTATTGAAAGGGTCTCAATGCAATTCAAAACTGCGGCATGGCTGGGACTGTCGGACATATGGCTGTGGGTCAAACCCCTGTGGTGCGGGTGAACATCAAAATAGGTGGTACATGGGTGTCCATCCGCCCCAAAATGGAGGCACTGTTATTTTTTTATGACCCATGGCCATTTCCACCCAGGCTCCGGGATGGATCGAGTTCAGCCGTTTGCCGCAACGTGTTGCCGTGTTGCCCCGTGCGTCCTGCTCCTTTTTCCGGCGTCGGGGAGTCGGAGTCGCGCACGTCTGCGGGCAAGTCGAGCAGAAGATCTCCGTGGCGAGCTCCTGGAAGGGTGAGCGGTTCTTGGCCGTGGGTCGAAACCGATGGGATCCCATTTTGGGACAGTTGCACCACCCATTTGGCTGTGGCTCAAAAAACCGGTACCAAAATGGAACCCTGGTAAGTGGAAACATGGACCAAAACCTGCGTAACCCCTCCTGTTGAATTTTGAGCCACAGCCATTTTAGTGGAGTTTTGACCCATGCCCATGTCACTTTCTGATTTCCCCAAGATGGACTTAAACCGATCACTCATGTTTGAGGACATGAGCCACCCTCGGTTTAATTCGACCTTGAGAGCCCTGATGGGATGGCTCGCCCATGGCCCGAGGCCTGGTTCACCTCCACCTTCGCCCGACCTCGCTTTGGCACCTCACAAACGAGGAATCCGAACAAGGCAGACAGCACTCTAGTGTGCCATCAGTTCCGGTACCTCGCAGCCGTCGCTGCAAACGAAGCACTTGCTGAAGTGCTTCATCAGGACCTGATGGCCACACAACCTCTCGCCATGACAGAAGATCCGCTTAAACCGAACAACGCGTCAAACAACCACAAAGAGGCGGATCTCTGACCATCAGGCCATTCCCTACCTGACTACTTTCTCAAAGGGGGGAAAACCGGGTTTGGCTTGAAACTACCAGGTGAGTCACATCGCTTCCCCCCCGCCCCATTCCACTTTCCCCGCACTCCGCGAAAAACTCGCCGTGCGCCTTGGGCTTCCTCACCCCGCCCAACGGCTGCGAGAACTCCTCCGCCTGAGCTGGCCGAAGCTTGGCTCCCACAAAAAATATGGTAACCTTGCCCTCAACAAAAAAAAGGATCCACCCAAATAAGGGCCCTCAACCAACAAACGGGGGACCCCAAAGGGAAAATCGCGAGGTAAGCTTTTCCCTTGAGGCTTCCCACTCTAAGCTCACCCCGAACACGTGTACTTCCCCCGAAACCGGGACACCGATGAAACCCCGAGCGACCCGGTTGGGCCAAAACTGGGCGCTGGGCAAAGGACTTGGGGGCCTTGATGTTCCGGCCCGACGAGCTCCTAAAAAAGGTGCGCTTGGATGGCCGACGTGGCTCTGGGTCGAAAAAAGGGTAACCCCAAAACGGAACCTTGGAAAATAGAACCGATGACCAAAACCTGCGGTCCCTTGGTCGTTTAATTTTGACCCATACGCACATCCATGCGTTTCTCGCACACGGAAAAGGCGTAAAAGTCGCGGGAAGGAGTTTCCACGGTGCCTTTTTTGGTGGTTGCCCTTGAAGAATCGAATCAGAAACCCGTTGGGTTTCTGCACGGCGCGAAACGGAGTTCGCCAAATGTACTCCGACGAGAAGCGGCGATGGAAAACCTCGGAGTCCCTAAAGAAAACGACCCGAAATACGGTGCGCTGTCTTCCTATTTTGCAATATCCGCTAAAAGCAGATCTCCTCGCCAGTGGCGCTTGCTGCCTCGGATTTCACACGGCCACCGAGCGACTGGGGTCCTAGTTGCCTAGCCCAAAGGGACATACCAAATCAGTAGTGATAAAAAAGGCTAGACGGGGTTGTCCATGTGGGTGTGCCTTTTTTGGAGGGTACCCCTTTTTGGATGATGGTGCTAAAACGGATTCACAAAAATCACCATGTATCATGTCTCTGTTTTTTTTGGGTGGGGGGTTCCCTAAAACAAGACGAGGCACCCACGTAAAACAGCAAGCAGCACCTCAGCCTGGGCTGAGGTCCACTCCGTAGCTCTCTGCTCGGCGCAGGTGCCAGCGGTCGAGGCACCTGGCGTTCCACAGCTCCAGCCCAATTGGAGCGCGGGACCGGCCGGCCGGGACGAAGTGCAAAGTGAGTCATAATCAAAGCCTGGTACAAAAACGATGAACCCAGAACCATCTAGGGAATTGCAAAGCTTGGCAGACTCGCCGCAGAGTCTGGCGCCTCCAAAGGCGGCTCAGGCTCCGTCCCCTCCTGGCAAGACTGCTTGGGCAAGTCACTGACTCATGCTCCCTGCCGCGTCTACATGCCAGGATGGAAATTCGATATATGCCTGCGCCGGTGCAGGCCGTCGTTCGCGCTCCAGAAAATCCTCAGCAACATGTCTCTTGGACGTTGCACCTCTGCACACAAGAAATCACGTATTCGGCATGGCATGCGCTTCCAGAGCTCTGTCCCGCCTCCACACTGAAGTGATTGAGGGACTGACCCACAAAGGCCTCTGGGCACTGTGCTGACTCCAACTCATTTCGTCTGAATGTGCTCCCTGACTCGCCAAAGATTCTCTACGAAGCACGTGGTGAGTCACAATCCAATCCAAGCTGGCAACCCATGCAAAAGAACCAAAGGCCCTTCTTGCCACACATATTACTTCTACTCGCAACATCGGCAACCATTTAAAAAAAAGCCGTGGTCGTTCCTTGGCTTTCCTTTTAACCAACCCCCAAAAAAAAGAACCGCGACCCTCGAAAAGGACAAACAAATAATTTGAAGAAAAAAATCGGGCCTTGAAGGCGCTCTCGCCATGCTTCAGCAGGTTCAGGATCTGCACAGCTCCAAATGGCTGTGGCTCAAAAAGACCGGTACCAACATGGCTTGCCCCAGTGGAAACATGGACCAAAACCTGCGGTTTGCCCCTCTTGTTTAACTTTGAGCCACACCCAAATCGGAACATGCTTGTTGTTGGGAAAAGGCCACTGCAACCGTTTCTGAGCCTCCCTCAAAGAAGACAAACCCAAAGTCTGGGAGTGATCAAACCAACCCCTCCCCCCCCCCCCCAATTTTGAGCCAACCCCGGACATGGATAGTGGCGCAACAGCCGCACTCCAATGCCATGCACCCAAGGAAGGTGGTTGAAAGTGCCGGCGTCCTCCTCTGCGCTGAGGGTGTCTTCCGATTCTGCCAGGAGTTCTTCTTCGTCCTCCTGGCAGGGATAGTTGCAAAGGACGAACATGAACCGCCAGGGAATGGATTCTTGGGCTGGTCCAAGAAGTTACTCTGAGTGTGCACAGGTGAAGCGAAACATTAGGGTCCCTGCTGTCGAAACCTCTTAGGGTATTTGGCAGCTCCTCGATTTGCACACCAGCAAGCAGCCCTATTCACTCTTCTCATAGCAAGCATCGCTCTGCCTTGCTGTCGATGAGGCATTGCTCCTGAGCTTGGTCAGAATACCTACGAGTTCTTGACTTGAAATTTGACATATTTGCCAGCAGCTCTGTCATACTGAGAAGTGGAGAGCCAAAACAAACAGGGCCATAACTTTCGATTCAGAGTCGCTTTTGGACCATGGATCCTTGTGGCGAAACCAGTCAGCGGCTAAACGCTGAGCCGCCGACCATCTGAAGCTTCGAAAGGGCCCGGAACACGAGGCGCTCTTCGATGCCCCACTCCTACTCCAACTCCAACGGTGGAATCCGCTTCTCGCACCACGAAATGAGGTGCCACGGTTGAAACCGCAGTTGGTTGGTAAATTTACCTTGGAGCATCCAATCAGAAACCGTTGGGTTTCTGAACTGGTGCGAAAGGGATTTCGCAACCATCAACACCATGACTGAAAGCCATTCATGGGACGGAAGCTATTGGCTGGCTTGCAGCGCCGATTTGCACCATTCACTAGTCCAAAACCCCTACTCTTTGCTTGCTTCGTTAGACAATCTCCGTTCACAATCTTGCCCTGCACTTCAACATGTCACATCACTTGCTTCTCAAGTGAAGCTCACATCCAGCTTTGGGCCAAGGCAACAACCCAGGGCATTCTTCTCTCTGCTTCACTAGAGGAATTTGCCCAGAGCTCGTCAAATGCCGACCTTTGTTTCTTTCTGAGTGGCACAAGTTCTTGGAGAAAGAAGCAAGGATACGTGCCCCGACTGGTGAAATGGTGGTTTGACTTTAAGATATGATGGATATGTCCTGAGACGCATGAGCTAGCTTCGCCAAAAGCTGAAAGACATGCTTGCCAAACATGCGTGCCGTTTGTACCCACACCCACATGCCTGCACCGGCCGATACACGTGCACCTTGCGATGGCAATGCCATTGACTCTTGGCAGGCCCAACCCCTTCCCCCATGCATCGAAGGCATGTTTCACATTTATGTGGTGTCTGAGGCAAAAAGTGCACTGGGGAAAGGAAATACAAAAAACCTCGAGGAAACACACACAAAAAAAAAAAAAAACAGCAAACCCAAAAAAAACAAAAACAAAACAACAACAAAAAAAAATAAAACCAATAAAACCAAAGCCCTGGGGACATGCATTGGCCTAGCACCTTTTGTCTCTCCTGAACAAAACTCAAAAAACCCCGAGGAGATCCAAACAAAACCCCCCAAAAAAAACACAATAAAACCAACGCCCTGGGGACATGCATTGGCCTGGCACCTTTTGTCTGGGGGATTGGTTTTATTGGTCTTTTGTTTTGTTGTTGTTTGTTCTTTTTTGGGTTTCCTCGAGGTTTTTTTCGGTTTGAGATCTCTTGAGCTTTGGGGTGCCACCAAGTCTGCCATACCAAGCCAATGTCCCCAGCGTTGGGTTTTTACGCAAAAACAGCTGTTTTTTTGATTGGCACAACAGGTTTTTTTGGGGGACATTGACCTCTCTGAGCTCTTCATGTGTTTGTGTTTGTTCCTTTTGCGTTTGCATTGGCATCTGCGTCTGTCATTCAATCTAGCATCTGCCTCTGGCATCTGCATCTGACACTGCCCGATTGTTTGAACATAAGGGGAAATTAGCAATTTTTTGGGGCACGCATAAGGTGCTCAGAAAGAGAAGGGGAATACTAAGGGAGTACTCTTTGCTTTGTAAGCCTTAAGTACTATCTTAGTGTACTCCTAGTATTCCCTGAATATTCCCTAGTATTCTCCCAGTATTTGCTTCTTGTATTCCCTTACCCCCCCCCGAGTATTCCCTTTAAACTTCTCAGTAAGAGAAGGGGAATACTAAGTCTGCTACTCCTCAGATATTATCTTGGTATACCCCTAGTATTCCCTCAGTACTCCCCTTATTCTCAGCATTTACCTTTTGTATTCCCCTAGCATTTCTTGAGTATTCCCTTAGTATTGCCTTAGCCAGGCAACTAGAGAAGTCAAGCAAATTGAGCTAAAGAATATCCCCGGCATTTACCGGGGTATTTCTCCAGTACTCTCCCTTAGTCTTGCCCCAAAATTCCCTGAGTATTTCCATAATATTGCCTGCCCTAGTATGCTGTTGGTATACCCCTAGTATTTCCTCATTCTTCGCCTAGAAGGGGACTACTAGGCGAGTACCTTTAGTATTGCCTCAGTATAACTCTAGTATTCTCTTGGCGTACCCCTGGAATTTCCTTCACTACTCCCTAGTATTCCCTTTACATTGCTCAGCAAGAGGAGGGATTACTATGGGGATTACCTAGTATAACTCTAGTATTCTCTTGGCATACCCCCAGCATTTCCATCCCTACCCCCCTAGTACTCCCTTTACACTGCTCAGTAAGAGAAGAGGAATATGAGGGGATTACCTTTAATACTGCCCTAGTATAACTCTAGTATTCTCTTGGCATACCCCTAGCATTTCCATCACTACCCTCCTAGTATTCCGTTTAAACTGTCCAGGAAGAGCAGGGGAATACTAAGACAGTACTCTTAGTCTAGTAGTCCTAAAGTGTTATCTTAGTATACTCCTAGTATTCCCTGAATATTCCCCTAGTATTCTCATAGTATTCACCTTTAGTATTCCCTGAGTACTCCCCTATGGTCACCCTAGCAAGGAAACTAACAGAACTCAGACAGGTTGAGCTTAAGAGTATCCCCTTAGTATTCCCTGAGCACTTCCCTAGTATTCTCCCTTAGTATTCCCTTGACATTCCCAAAGTATTTCCATAGTATTGCCCTAGCATTCCCCTAGTACTGCCCTAGTATTGTTGAGAGAAGAGGTAGAAGCCTGCTGCCTACTTCCAGAAGCCTGCCATCAAGTGAGAGAGGTGCTTTTCCTAGTGACAAATTTTGATGTATTCAAGTTTGCACTTGTCTGTGCTATGTCCTAGCCGTAGGATACTTTCGTTCCATCGCCATGTCGGGCGACTCTGGTCAACTAGCACCAATACCACCGCATCTGCATATGGAAAAACAAGGAACACAAGGCTCATTCTTCCACCGCATCTGCATATGGAACAACAAGGAGAACAAGGCTCATTCTTTGCATGCAGTATGCAGCGTGTACACTTTTCCATGGGAGTTCAACTGTTTCTGGTGTATTCCTCACAAAATGCCGCGTTTTCATTATTTGCACAACTCCAGGCCCCATGGCGGAAGGCCCCATGGCAAGCGCCACGAAACAGATCGGATCTCGCCCAGTCCCTCGCCTGCCGGCTCTGGCCAATTCGATGCGCCCGGTCGATGGCCTGGTGGTCCACGTGCGGGTTCCAGTCCTGCGGAATCGAAAGGCGAAAGGCGTGGCACCGGTAGGCGACCAATTTGGGCGTGGTGGTCCAAACCGTTTTGGGATCCCATTTTGGTTGGTAGGTGAATTCACCACCCATTTTGCGAGGCTGGAGTTGGGACCCCAATAAAAAAATAGATATATTTTTTGCCTGGCTAGTGGAAAACAAAGCGACCCCAAAAAAAATGGAGCTAACTCTGGGGAAGTTTAGTCTATTTTAGTGGGGATTGAAATGTTCACTGGGGGTACGGGATTTTGACCCATGGCCATTTAGGGCCTGAAACCTGCAAGCGGCCGAAAACCCGCACATGACAAACTTCCCCATTGGTTCTATCTCAAACCGCTGGCAGGTTAAGGTCTGTGTCCCTTTTTTTGCCTGCTCAAATTTGTCCCTGTCAAACATTGCAAACAAACTTGCGAAACCAGCCCTTCCAGCCTGCTCGTAGATCACCACGTGATTTGCTGAGGCGAGGTTCACCTCAGAGCTGACTCGGAGAGTGAGATGCATCCGGGTCTGAATCCAAATCGGCAGAACCTGCGGCGAACATATTTTACTCGTTTAAGTCCGTCAAGCGTTGTTGTGGTGATTCGCTGCTGAAAGTACTGATATGCTATTCGCCGTGAGTGCAGATTCGGGGGAAATGTACTCACTGTTTCCATGGAAAGATACATGCCCGTGCCTTGGCATGCCTTCCAAAATGCCCTGAGTGTTGGCCATGCCTAATGTGCTTTGTCATTTCTGCCAAGCAGCCCCCAACCCTCCAGCACGAGTGCCAATGAGATAGACGAAGAGATCCTGCGCAGGATCGCCAGCAAAGGTTAGTGCCCCAAACTCCCATCACAGTGTGTCAACGGAATCCTTCTCAAAACCGCAAATACAATGAAAACGGCGGTAAGCCAGCACATGCCCACACAGCCAGCCCTCAGAAAACCTGTGCCAAAGCCCCCAGCGCCTCATCGTGACTGTTGAAGTCCCGCATGTCCAGCTCGCGCAGCACCCGTGCAGTGGACTGAGAGTATCCCAGCCAACGGCACCGTCAACATAGGGAAAAACAGCTTGTCCTGCTTGACATGCAATCTTCATGTCTGCCATATGGTCATGGGCTATTCAAAATCCAAATCGTACCCCAGTGAACATCCCAATCCAACCACTAAAATAGGTTCTAAAATGGGTGGTGCACCTACCAACCAAAATGGGATCCCATTGGTTTTGACCCACAGCCATATGCCAGGCTCATCAACATGCCAACAAACGCTCAGGAAAAACTTGTCTGAGTGCACACACCCCATCCAAGCGCAAACAGCGCCACTGGCGGAAGGCGCAGTAGGCCTCTCACGTGATCACAGAATCCCGGCAAACTCAGACTTCAGTGCAAATGAGTGTCAGCGCCGATCGCCAAAACACCAAATACGATGGCCACGACATGGGGGCACTACTACACGGCGTGCGTCAAGTCTTGGTACAGTTGGAAGACACCACCAGGTCACTCGTGTTGCTCTCTGCACTGTCAATTGCCTCGAGAAAGTCAAGCGTGTGCACGTATTGGCAGAAGATCAGCACCTGGCGCAGAAGCGTGCAACTCTCAAATCTTGGCTGTGGGTCAAAAATGGGTACCTAAAACGGAACCCTGGCAAATAGAAACATGGACTGACACCTGTGGTCCCCTGGTAGTCTAATTTTGACCCACAGCCACTTGTCAGATCACCTCTGTATCGACAGGGCCCTGCCAAATACATCGATCACGGCCCTCTCATGACTGGCCTTGTGCGGCTGCGGCGTCAGCTCCGCCTCGCCTGGGTCCAGCTTGAACAGCGCCAACCGTCCGCTCTCGCGTAATCAAGGATTTCAAGTGAACGGGAACAGGGTCAATTTGATGAACAATCTGCTCAATCCCGGGAATTCATACATTCAATGAGACGAGCTCACTCACCTTCACTCGGCCGACTGCCCAACAGTTGAGCCCTGAGATGCGGACCGTCGCTGTTCTGCACAGCCGAAAAGTGACGACACGCTGACTGGCTAGTTTGTATCTATGGCTAAGAAAAAACGCCTCCATGCTGAAATAAAAAAGCACTTCAGCCTTTGCAAACATAGCATCCTGAATGCTTCTGGAATGCTTGGACCAAGTGAGCCTCTTCCAAAAAACAGGCCCTACCGCTGTAGACCAATCCGTATTGCAGCACTACTTTCCCTCGCAGTCCTGCTTGCCACTCTTGTACGGCTGCATATCCTGCAGTGCCACCCCCAAAGTTGGCGGCACAAATGTGCTGAGCGATTACTCACCTTCATTCTGATTTGCTAGTCCGCCACAGGTGCAAACAGCATGGAGCCGCACCCCGCACCCCGACTTGCAAACCAGATCAGTCGATTGAGCCCCATGCATCCAGGAAGAGTGTGCCTGAAGTACCTGCCGTGTGGGTGTGAATCTTGATTCAGGACCCTTTTTGGGACACCATTTACATGAGGATTCGTTTTTGTTTCAACCGCGGGCTCTCACGGCTCTGGATAGATATCGATAAGCAAGAATGGCCGCTTGCCTCGTACAAAATCTTACGCTCCTTGGAAGACTCCATGCTAGGTGGCCCAGAGCTTGCTAGCTGTACACTGTACAAGGAGGTCTCATGCACTCAGGGGCGCATTCTACAAGTCAAAACCTCACCACTTGCCCTTGCCCTTGCCCTTGCCCTTGCCCTTGTCGCCGCTCCCGTACTTGGGCCCCATGGCCGCGGCGCGCTGCACGCAGCTGGCGATCCACTCGTTGGTGCTGGCGAAGTTGGGCCGGTCCACGCCGATGACTTTGAAGTAGGCGCCCCAGTCCTTCGTGGACTCCTTGCGCTGGCGCCACTCCGATTGCAGCCGCTCCAGCCGGTCCGGCAACTTGCAGTTGGTCTCCTTGGCATTCGGTGACACAACTTGCAACATAGCCGTGGTCCTTTCTTTTAATAATATTTGTCGAAGGCTGTTCAAACAGTACCCTGTCTTTTTTTGCCGGGGGTTTGCTAGCCTACCCCTCGCCTCCATCTCCTTCAGCGTTTGCTGTGGTTCCCCGATGACCAGGTCCACCACCGCCAGCTGGAACATCAGGATCTCCCTTGAGACCTGCGTCGCCTGGAACACGGCCGCGCCCTCCGGTCTGGTGCCGGAGCGCTGCCACCACATGACCCAGCGCAGCGAGTTCTCGTCCACGTAGGGCGCCAGGAACTGCTGCCGGGACGGGCAGCTGTCCCCCTGCAGCACGGTGAAGAGCACCAGCAGCGCGCCCAGGTCGGGGCACTGGTCCTTGTGGCGCCAGGCCGCCTCCCGCACGAAGCGCGTCAGCGACGTGGTCGCCTTGCTGCGCAGCGCGGGCCGGGTGTCCACCAGCCACCGGAAGGTGCGCCAAAAGTTGCACAGCGCCTCAAAGGTAGCGATGGCGGCGCTCTTGCTGGCATCCGGCCTCATCATCTCCACGATCATCTGGTTGATGAGCCTTGGAAACACCTCCATGATGGCCGCGTCTTCATCCTTGGCCGCAAAGACGTTCCTTCCGATGAGGCTCACCTGCTTGCTGAGCTCGCTCTTCCACTGCGGCTGGGCCGCCGCATGTGCCTCGTTGATCCAAACGGGCAAGAAGAACTCGAAGCTGGACTTGTCGGTGTTCTGGCGCAGGCCACCATCATACGCCTCCTTGGACAGCAGCTCCGCCGCCGTGCCCAGGTTCTTGCCCTGCCGGCTGACCCCCACTCCCAGCATGGCCTGCGTATATAGCTTGCCCGTGCTCCAGCAGCAGATGTTCGTGTCGATTGCCTCGCACTCGCTGCCGGCGTGGGATCCTCCACGGGACGTGCTGACTTCGGAGAGGAGCTCCAGGAAGGTGTCCATGTCCTCCGAGCCCCGCTGCAGCCCCAACTTCTGGGCAAAGCGGGCCACCCGCCCTGCCAGCGACTGGCCCCCGCAGATCTTCAGCAGCTGCTGCTCTCCTCGTCGCTTCGACTGCATCTCGCGGATCTCGTCCTCGTCCAAGAGCTCCAGCACCGCCCTGGGATTCTGCTCGCAGAACCTTACGGCAGACTGGTAGGTCACGTCCCGCTCTCTTTGGGACATCTGCGTGCCCAGGTCGCTCAGCACCGACTGCAGCTGGACCAGAAGAGTGGTCACCGTGTAGGCCGGGCTCCATCCGCTGCCCACCTCCGCCTTCCACTCCGTGTGCACGTGATCGAAGTTGCCCAGCACGTCCAAACAGATCACCTTCTTGCCCTTCAGCCTGCCGTCTCGCTCCACGTAGGAGGCGCCGCCCCGGTACTCGAACTCGAAGGAGAAGCCGATTTTGGGCGCGCTGGCGGGGTAGTCGCACGGAAAGTCGATGAGGAAGTGGAGGGGCACGGTGACGCAGCCGATGTGGGTGACCTCCATCTGGGTACCCACCACGCCATTCCAGAAGGACAAGTCATCCGAGGCGGGGGAGGCAGCTGCTAGGGGGATGGGCTCCTCTTGCAAGCGCTTCAAATCCGACTGGATGCGCTTGCGGGCGGCTTGGCTCAGCATCGTGCGAGGCGGCAAATGGACGGCTGGACTTGATTTTGAGTGGCTAGCTTGATCCAAACAGCACCATTTCAGGCGACCCAACCATTGAAAAACCGTTGCAAAAGGATAAAATGACTGCTCTCACACAGTTTGATACCATGATACTACGAGCCTCTTGCAGCACACCAACCCAAGAAACCCGGACTTCCGGCGCACTCTGCAGCCACGCCGCTGCACTCCGCCTCTTGCCCTTATCACCTGCCTTCGCAAGGCGGTCCTGGGATGCAGTTATTCTCAGAACTCGTAGACAGAAATACCAACAACGGACGAAATGACTTGTTTCCTGGAAATAGGGCTGTTCACTTGCTTTTGTGGGTGCTTTGCGTCCCCGCATGTCCTCCCCAAGCCAACAGTAGACTGCCAACTCAGATGTATTGTCATCCCTGCATGCCACCGTACCGAGAGGGTGAGAGTCGCTGGTTGCCCAAAGCACCCACATGCGACATGATCAAACTGGCCGCCAGGTGAGCTCCCCTGTAGACAAACACGCATGACACCCAATGAACATTGCCTCCGCGGCAAATGCCCAGCGGAAAAAACGCCGATGGCCCCTCAATGTTCGCTTTAAAGTCCTCAAGGTGTTGCCAAAAAGCCACGAGAACCATCCCTGGTCAAGGAGTGTCTACACCCCAAAGAAAGGATGTCACTTCCATGAGCTGCCAAAACTCTTCTCCAAGCTACATTTGGCGGGATCCCATTTTGGGGTAGGTGAATTCACCACCCATTTTAGTCGGGATTTTAGTGGCGGTTCGGATGTTCGCTACGGGTACGAGATTTTGACCCATGCCCATTTTAGCGGCAAGCTCAGCTTCGGCTCGGTTCCTCGTAGGCCTTGCGCCACGAATCCGAGATGCCCATGTTCTGAGCATGCAGCTGCCTCGGACAGCGTCTAGAGCAACAAGTTGACAGCTAAATAGCAAGATATACGAGCGCTGACCACATAAGCACTACATAAAGGACCCCACCCCCGGCCAAAACAAAGAAAGACATGTGGCTTGCCTTTTGGTTGTCCCTCAAAACCCACAAAAAAATACGGGGTGGCCCGTGAAAAGCGTGCTTTGCCTTTTCGTTGTCCCAAAAAGTCTGAGGTAACTTTTGGAGCTGTAAGCTGCCCAGCCCCAGGAGCTTGTCCAAGAAGGTGAGCTTCGAACTTTGAGAGATCACCTCTCGCCACGGGCGCTGAATTTCATCGCAAAAATTGAATTTCCAATAACACCTTCGCATTGTTATATATATATATATATATTTATTTATTTACTTATTTATTTATTGATTTATTTATTTTTTTTATTTATTTTTGCTGGTGGGGCGCCCCTCTTTTTTCTCGGACAATTCGTTGGTAATCATCAGACATGCTCGAACTCATCGAAAGTGTCCGTAGGCGATCCTCGCCTAGATTCGTTAGTAAGATGTGCAGCATTGGAGGCGTTCCCGAACTTGCCTACTGTGCTCGGTTGCTTGCTGCTCCCCTGCTAAAAGTTTAACTTTTAGTGGTTTAATGGAAAACCCATTAGTTCGCAAAAAGTAAAAGTCCTAACCTTCAAGCAAGACGCGCCAAAGTGTGTGTGTGTGTGTGTCTTGACGTAGCCTCCGTACTGCAAGCAACACGTTAACAAGCTCTTCAGCTGATGCGGGTGGATCTGTCGCATCATCCGCTCAGAGCTTCCCGTTCCCGAAAAAGCCGCAAGGCCTCGCGGAAAAAAGTTGCAGTCTGCGCTGAAAAAGTGGGAAATGAGTGTGTCTTTGTATGAGGGTACCCCTCAAATGGGGTAGTTGTACAGGGAAGCAAAAGGAAAACAGGCAATTTTCAGGCTCAACCCCCCAAAATGAAGCTCCAAGGCTGCCTCGGCTTTGTCGTTCAGCTGTACACCTTGGGGCCGTCAGGCGCTCCCTGTCTCCCACTGGACAGCGACGAAGCTTGGCACGGAGCGATCGGTGTGTAAGGGGGTCACAAGCGAAGTTTGTATCTTCCAGGTACCCTCCCGCAGGTGCCTGCTGTTCGAAAGCAGGGTAACCATCAAAACAATGACACACCCAGCCCCAAAGTTGGGTTTTTCAAGAATGGCTTCTTTGGTGCGCTTTCGGATGTGGCTGTGGGTCAAAAGCCTGTACCCCCAGTGAACATCCCAATCCTCACCACAATAGGTTCTGAAATGGGTGCTGCACCTACCAACCAAAATGGGATCCCAAAACGGTTTTGACCACCACAGCCATGTCGCAACCCACATGGAAGCATCGGAAGTCGCCGCTGCCGCGTCTCCGGGGCTCCCGCAGGCGAAGGCGGCCATGTCCATGGCCACGCGGTCCGGCTGCAGCGCGGCTTTCGGCCTTCGGATCAAAAAACCAGGCGACGGCCGACATGCGGCTGTCAAAAATTGGGTTTGGTTTAGTGGCAAGCCGCGAATCATCCGGTTCAATTGAGATGTTTAGAACTTTTTAGATCTTCTGAGTTGAATAAAGTGTTTGAGTGTCCGGAATGTTTCCCACGAAAGGGAAGCCTTTCAGGTTGATTGGGGATGACCAGGTGAAACAAAAGCGTGGGGAGGTCAACAAGAGTCGGTGACCCCAAACAGCGCAAGCTCTGGCATATGGAAAGGACTAAAACCAACGGTCCATATCGCCACATCCTGGTGAGCATATTTTGACCCATACCCATCTGGGTCTGTGAGGCGAGCCCTTTTGTGGGACTGTCGCCAGATTATCCTTCTGTTTTTGGAGTTGGTATCCGTTTTTGGTGGGGTTATGAAGGGAAACCAACAGGAAAACCACCCTTTTTGTTTAGGGGTCCCTAAAAAAGGCCCAAAAGGCACCCTGAATATCCAGACGAGGATAAAATATGAAATGCAGTTGGAATCGAGATGGAACAAACCAACACCGCCCCAGCGGCATGGCGTGCAGCAGCTTGAGCACCTTGTGCCACTGCGAGGCCTGCCACACAAAAGCTCGTTGCGCGGTGGGAATACCTCCCCTCTGGTTCTTAACATGCAGCAAGCTCACTGAATTGCAACTCTAAGAACCTCCCAAAACTCTTTTGTGGAATGTGTGGGAGATGCGCCCAATGCCCCAAGAGGCATCCAAATCCCGCGATCCGAAAGCCCGGAGGGATGGCGCCTTCGCGCACGCAGACATCGTGGAGGTGAAGGCTGCCACCTGAGGGTTGTCACGTCGCCGCATGCGCACTGCGAACATTGTTGGCAGTGACACTGTTTGGAAGGCATGCCCGGCTAAACACGGCACTGGTGTGATTGTCTTTCAACATCCCTGTCTGCAGTTTCAAAATGCTCAATGGTGTTACAATTGTGTTGTTTTTGTTGTGAGCTCAGCGGCTCCAGCTAGGGATACGTTTCTCGCCACACTCCAAGTTGAAGGAATGTAGTCTGCGCATTGAGGGCTTTGTCACAACAGACCCAGCTTAGCGCGCTGCTTCCAATGCATGGTCTTCATAGCTACGGGTACATCATCATCTCGGTGTTGACTGCCATGGGAATGTCAAATTAGCTCTACAGAATCACAAGGGCGGCCGCGCCTGTTAATGGTTGGGACTGTCTCCTAACCTTCTCCAGGGTGGCTCGTGTGTCTTTCAGCAACATCTTTCATTGAGTGTTTACGTATTTGTCCAATCCATTTTTATTGCAGCTTGGAATTACTTATTTCTTCTTCTTCTTCTTGCTTCTCTTTTTATTCACGTTTACTACAGGTGGGTCATAGAAATTTGGTCTGCCTAGCGAAGGCATCTTCGCGCGGAGCTGCGCTGTAAATAAACGCCAAGAAAACCCGAACTCGATCTTGGGCTGTCTCCCTTTCAGACCAACGAAAGTGTCAGACTGCTCGCTCCGAAAACCTCTCCGCGCTCCGAGCGCCCGGGCGCTCGGGAAGGCACTGTCGCACTGCCGCTGCAGTGCTGCCATGGCTTGTTGCCAGGCGAAGCCTTGCTGGCACGCAGTGGCCTGCCGCGGAGCGCTCAATCTCGTGCGCCGAGAAAAACGCGCGCGTCGGATTAGCAACCCGTGGCGCGCCATCCGTGCGAAGGCTGCCATGAACTAAGTGAGTCACAATCAAAACCCGGTACTAAAATGGGCGACCCAGAACCATGTTAAAGAATTAAGAAGGCGGCCGCAGCTATTTATGGTTGGGATTATCCCTTACTAGTGACTCAAGTGCCGGTGAAACAAATACCACAGCCGGTCACACTCTGCGGGGCAAAAAAAAAAGGCGCCGGCAGGACCAGCGTTTCAAAGGCAACGCTGTCAGGAGCGATCTGCCTGCGCTCCATCTCCTCGAACCTCGGACTTCTGGGCACTGCCCATCCAATGCTGGGAATGGTTGAATAGTGATCTATCTCGCAGATCATCACTCCCTTACCGCCCTAGGATTACACAGAGAGACTCAGACCAATTGGTAGAGGGCGTCCGAGCACATGGCTCATGCGTCATGCAGCCATAAGCAAGGCTGCAGGCGAATTTCAGACTGAAGAGAGCCCCCTCAATTTGGCGAATTCCCAACAGCGGAAAAGATTGCGGCATGAGCCCCTGCGCAGTTGACTTCATGCTTTTGTTTCAGAGCCACACTCAGTGCCCTCGCTCAAATGTACTAGGCTGTGGCTCAAAAATAGGCATCCTACAAATGGAACCTTGGCAAATGGAAAGGACTCAAAATGCCGGCGGTCCATATATCCTGATCCATACCCAGCAAATGTCCCCAAAGCCTCGCGGCCGAAAACGGCCCGGCTGAAGGCTCAGCGCGTGGCTGACGCAGCGCCTTGCGCCAGCCCAGCGCCCCGAGCAACGAGAAGGCCATGGCATCCCCCAGCTGCGCCTCTCGCCAGTCGCCAGTCGCTCGAGAGTAAATACAGATTCCATTGAAACTTGGGGAGTTCAGGTGTTCAATATATGCGATTGCCCATGAGCAAGTGTTGGCCCCAAGGCATATCTTTTGCGGGCGAAACCGGAGAGCTTCTTGAGATCACTGAAACGCCACCAAGAAAGTGGTGGCTTGCGACTGGAATTTTGTTGAGTCCGTCTCATCACAAAGAATCACAAATCTCAAACAGCCAATCCAGCCCGACGAAGTGGCAAAGCTGCATTGTGCTAAAACGGCTGTATACCCTGGCCTTATGCATCTGCTTCAGCAGTAGCTCCACCTCAATCAAGATTCTTCAACAAAACAAAAGCCTTTGCTGCTTCCAACTCAGGTTCTTGCACGCTGCGGTTGCTCAGCTCTGGCACACCTCAGTGTACTTGATAGCCCCCTCAGAGCCTCATCACAAGCGCCTGGGAGGCTTGAACACACACGCACGCACACACACACACACACACACCACGCACCCGCACCCGCACCCTCACCCGCACACACACACAGCACCCGCACCCGCAACGGCACCCGCACCCGCACCCGCACCCGCACCCGCACCCGCACCCGCACCCGCACGCGCACGCGCACGCGCACGCGCACGCGCACGCGCACCCACCCACCCACCCACCCACCCACCCACGCACGCACGCACGCAACACAGACACAGACACAGACACAGACACAGACACAGACACAGACACAGACACAGACACAGACACAGACACAGACACAGACACAGACACAGACACAGACACAGACACAGACACAGACACAGACACACACACACACACACACACACACACACACACACACACACACACACACACACACACACACACACACACACACACACACAACGGCCAGATCTTCCTTCCTCGGTCGCGAGCGCTCCCCCGGCAGCAGTGTATGCCACCACCTTAGGCTTCGGGCTTCGGGCTTCCGATGAAGCGAAGATGAATGGCTCATCCTCTTTTGGAGGGCCCTGTTTCGGTTGGTTTTCAGGGAAACCAAAAGGAAAACCAAGACCCATTTTGGGGGGTCCCCTGTTTTAAGACACAGCCATATACCAGCACGAACCTTGCTGCACTCGGCCAGTTGAATCGTTCAAAAGCGCCAGGCACCCCCGCATCCCGCCGCAGCGCGCGCCGGGCCATGTCGTCAAATAGACATATGGCCTGGCACCGGTCCGGCGTCGCTGCGGCGTAAGCGGCAGAAATCCGTCAAGTACATTTCTCATGGGTGGGTGTCGAGATTCGCGGGTTTGGTATTCGTGGCGTCCCAGAGAGTTGGATATTGGGCCTCGCTGGCCCTATGTTTTGATCGTAAGGCGAGTGGGCCCCCCGCGCCATCCATTTCCCACAGTACATGATGCTGTATTGACTGCGGCAGCGCCCTGGATGCTGAACTTGTCAAACCCGTTGCAGCCTGGTATGCCTCCGTTGCCCAAAAGTCCGAAATCAGAGAGTCTCAAAGGGTCAATGACCGCAGGTCCTGATGAACACCAACAAGTCTCAAGTCCGGGCACTCAGGGCGTGAGATTGGAATGAGCCATCACGGCCCTCACCGAGCACATCGCTACGGCGACGGGTGAAAAACCAACGGGACGCCTGCTGCCACTCGCCGTGATGGGCGCAGGCGGAAATTGCTGCAACCATGGCCACTTCCTGGGGAGCACGCAACCCACTGGTCCTCTGCAATCACTCTCGGGACAGAGTGCCACGTTCAGGCTTTGTCTCCAATTGCGGCAAGCCCGGAAATGGGGCGAAAAGACCCGCAGTTGACACGTGAGTTTGATCATGCAACACAGACTGGCCCTCTGGCCAAGCTCGCCAACGTAACAGCAAGGCTCTCCCAAGACCCAGGCATTGGCAGCCTTGGCGCGCACCACCTCCAAGCACCTCAAGCCGGCTGGCATCAATTCACTGCCAGACCATTCATTCGCAAGGTGCTTGAAATTTCCAGGCCCAAAAGATCTCGCCTCTGCCACTCCTGGCCCTTGCCCAGGGCGAGAGTGAGGGTTGCGGTGCTCAACGCGTTCGGCCGCACCTCACATCTGGTCTGGCCAGAAAGAGCAAGTCATTTTCTCGACTCGCATGTTGGCTTGGGCTGCCTCCTCTTCAATCACGAACAAACGAGCGGCATCGGCGGCCTGCAGATTCGAGCATCTATCAAAGTGGGACAAAGCTAACCTCGGCAAGCAGGAATAAGTTCCGCTCACATTGGTGTTCCCCCTTCTCCTCTTTTAGTGTCTCTCTCTCTCTCTCTCTGTCTATCGCCTCTCTTTCTCTCCTCTCTCTCTCTCTCTGATTTGGACAAAAGGCTGCCATTGCTGACCCCGCTGCAACGCTGCCAGGGTTGTGTTGAAAGTGGTCAGGTCACCCGCCACCTGGCCGCGTGTGTTGAGACAATCTACATGCCTGCAATGAGCAGTCCTCCCGCTTTGTTAAAAAATGCAATGTCAAAAACGCATGTAGGGGTCTAATAGTCTATCTGATTCCAACCATTGGCCTTCGTAGCGCTCATCTGCCGCAGTAGCTGCAGCACAAGCTGCCAGTGGTGGCCCTGCTCCTGCCACACACACACACACACACACATGGCGCACAGCTCTGGCACTGGGCCTTTGGTTTCTGGGTCCCTTGCCCAAGCCCTGATGGCGGCATTGAAGGAGAAGACGTTGGGCGCCAGCCGCAAACGCGGCATCTCCCCAAACCTGGCGACCCGCCCAGGCGCTCGCCAAGCCCCCGAGAACGCCAAGCGCGACGCGAGAACGCGAGCGAGGCGAAAGCGGCAAGCGGCGGCGGCGGCGCAGCTCCAAGGCGTGCTGCCACGCCGACGACTTCGCGCAGCAGGCCGCCGAGGCGTTCCAGGCCTCCGCTCGGAAGAGCGAAGAGCCCCCCCGTCAGGTCTCAGCCTTCACATCTGGCTGCACCGCCAGGTGGGGCAAGTCACCTGAGCCCAGAACTAACGGATACAGTGGAAGCCACAGACTCCCCCAGAAAAGCCGTGGATTTCCCTTGATATGGTTCACGCCGGTCCCTTGGACGTGAGCGGAGTTCTGCAAATGGGTCGCTTCCGTCCAAGCGGCAGGCCAAGCAGCTGCAAGACCTGTGGCCACGACCTCGAGAGCACAGCCAGTGGCACCCGTCGGGTCGGTCTATGGAACCAAGCGCCCCCACCGGCCACTCTCCAACGAAGAGACGAAGGCGCCCAAGGTGTAAATGTCCGGGCGGACCTTGGGCATCTTGCAGTCGTGCAGAATCCCCCGAAAGTTGTTCTTTGTTCCCCAATTCGCATGAGTGAATATGTTAGATTTGCGACTAGTGCAAAACTAAGCGAACCACTTCGCAGCCCAGCATGTCCTGCAATGGCTTGAAGGCTCCATGCCCGCCAACCACCAAGGCAAACACGATGTGCGTTTGTGCCATGTATGTCTGCCCGGTGCCTCAAGCAAAGTCACCGCTGTTGGCCATGCCGCCTGCATCGCAGCCATTCTCTCGACCGGAGCGAGCGCCCCCCCCTCTCCCTGAGGCGCCGGCAACCCGAGCCACCGCCGCCATGGTGGCGTTGAAGCTGACCACGTTGGGCCGCGGACCCAGGCTGCGCCTCGAGTCCCGAAACCAGCCGGCCAACGAACCTAGGTGTCCTTTTGGGGGAAATAGATGGCCCCGGTGGAGTAAACCACCTGGTACAGGGCCATCTATTCTTTTGCCAAAACCACCAAGAAGGACACCTATGCCAACGGACCGAAGGCCAAAAACCGCCAGGCCACATTTGGGACAGCAGCTCCGGCGCCAGCCTCAGACCCAAACCCCTCAGCTCCGTCGCCGACCGCCCATCGCGGTAACGTCTAGGGAGCCCTGCCACCAAGCGCCGCGGCCCACCGCACTCGTGGTGGCATTGCAGGCCACCAGCGAGGGCCTAGGTGCGAAGGGGCTGTGGCATTTGCAGCTCCGACGTCCAGCTCCCCAAACAAAAATGGGTGTGGCTCGAAATTAAAGAGTCAGGGTTACGCAGGTTTTTTTTGTTTTCATTTACCAAGGGGCCATTTGGAGTACCATTTTTTGAGCCACGGCCAAATGCACCTCTCATGAATCAAGGTATACCGCACCGAGTCTTTGGGCAGTGTGCCAGTTCGTCACAGCGGAACGCGACTCGGTTCCGGGCACCAACTTCGCACGCCTGGGAAAACAAGTTTGAAGCCGGGGCTGCGGGGCAACCGAACCCAACCGGGTGTGCTTGTTCTCGACTGTGGCATGTGTTTGGCGTTCTCTCAACGGGAGATGAACATGAAAGCGCTCTTTCTGTTCAGGGGCTCCACCAATCGAGTCACAATCAACATCCGGTACAAAAATGGTCGACCTAGGAAATACAAAGGCGGATATCAGCTGTTTCTGGCCAGATTGCCCCTTCTACCCGAATCGGTTTTGAGCATGTGTTCTCGACCGAAGCTCCATCGACCGAAGCTCCGGCTGCGGTCTCTGCCTGGACTCCTGCAGCATCTCCAGGGCCAGCGCCCACTGCTGCGCCTTGCACAGGGTACCTGGCCGTCTCAAAAAAAAAAACGTTGGATTTTGAGAGGCCGAAAGGGGCCGTGCTTTGCCAAGGCCCCTTTAAAGGGGCATGGGTAGAGGGTACCCCTTCACCCATTTCTGGGTGGCTTTAAAGGGAAAACCAAAAAACAAACCTTTTTTCTTCCCTTTTCGGATGCTCCCCTTAAAGGCGAGACACACCCACCGATCTTTTCCACCCCTTGCCACGACTCCAAAGCTTCCTTCTCCCCGGCCTCCGCAGGCGGCGAAGCCGGCCTTGCTGGCCGGCACCTGCCGAAAAGTCTCCAGCGCCAACGGCCAGCGGGACCTCAGCGGAAGCGCCGATCGCCCGACCGAGCGACGAGTCGGCTCGTCGAAAAACCACTCGGCTCCGGACAGCCGGCCCAGGTTGGTGATCACCGAGATGAGGTCTTTCATGAGCCATGGCTCGGCAGAGTCTTCAGTCAGAGTTCTTTGAGTCTTGTGTGTGTGTGCTTTTGCTTTTCTTCACGGCATCTTTGCTTGGAACCAGCCTTGAATCGACTTGCCGCAAATGTTCAGTGGTCTACAAAAAGCTTCTTTGTGTTGTGACAAAAGAAGCATCCAACTGCAGCCGCTTGCTTTTAATCATGTTGTAGCTTGGCTCAGCTCCGCTCCATGTCTGGCCATGAGCCATCTGCATTTGAGTCATAATCAAAACCCGGCATTAAAATGGTCGAGCCAGAACCATGCAAAGAAGTAAGAAGGGATATCCGCAGCGATTTATAACAAGGGGATTGTCCCTTACTAACCTTCATCTACCCGAATCGGTTTTTGAGGAAGTGGCTCATTTGAGCCTGGTGACGATGCGAGCCTGAGCTCGGCATGAGCCTCTTACATTCGTTTCTCGGGCCTCCTCGGACATCTCCGCGTTGCAGAGCTGGTCCACTTCCTTGCGTTTTTTCGCAGAAAAAGCGCTTGCGAAGAGCTGAAGCACCTTCGCAGAAAAATGGGAACTTTGGCTCACACGCCACTGGATGCTCCAATGACCCCGGGGTGATCTACCATGGGAAGAAAATGAATGTTGGCAAAAAGCGATTTGCGTCGGTACTCATGTCCAGCATCGTTGCATGAAGGTTTGCAAGCTGTAAATACAGGATTGCTTCCCATCTTGGTCGCCAATGGCATCCTGAAGGAGTTTCAAGCAATCACGGTTGAACATGCTGCCCACTGTTAATTGGGCGTGGGCACTTCACCTTTTCGCCCTCCTGCTGCGTGACAAGGCCCATGGAAAGGAGGAAGTCTCGATCTTCCTGTGCAAACATGAGCAAGCAACTCTGCTCGGAGCCCTTTGTCTTCCGTGCAGAAACTAATTCTGAAACTGCGAATGCCTGCAAAAACTCTTTGCCGTCGCATGCCGTATCCAGTTCTATGCCTGCTTCCTTGCCAAGCAAGTGCATGATCATAAAACGCAGCTGTACGATTCGGCGTTCAAAAGAACCACACATCATGACATTTCACAAACCTCCATTGACGCCGCAAAAATGACAGCGGACCTACGCCGGCACCAGCTTTCTACAAGCTCAAACCCGGTGTATAGAAGGGTACCCCAAGGAATCCGAAACGGTCTCTCAACTACCCTCGCACCTACCCCCGTTCGTGGGATTCCATACACTTGGGGCACCCTTCTTGGGCGTGAAGCCAAAGGGAATGGCTTGGGGGGAAAAAAAAGAACACCAACTCGGATGGATGGCTTCTTTTCGGTTCCATGTGGCGATGGGTCAAAATCCCGCACCCTCAGTGAACATCCCAATCCCCCACTGAAATAGGTTCTAAAACGGGTGGTGCACCTACCCACGGCCATGTCTCGGTTAAGGGACAATCCCCTTGGCATAAATAGCTGCGGATCTCCGCCTTCATAATTCTTGAAGCATGGTTCTGGGATTACGACCATTTTAATGCCGAATCGGTTTTGAGCAAGTGACTTCTTGAAGCATGGCCGTGGGATTACGACCATTTTAATACCGGGTTTGGATTTTGACTCAGTTCTCGTTCCGAATTTTCGCCGTGCCTTCGTAGCCACAGCGCCGCGAGGGTGACACGAGATGCTGCGCAGTCGCACCTGAGATGCGAAGATGCGAGCTCGCGGGTGCGATGGGTAGGGTTTTGGGCCGGGTTTTAGGAATGAACCACTTGAAGGGATTCCCGAAAAAGGGAAACCATCGGATGGATGGTGGGAAGGGCTGGTCCCTCATTCTCTCAAAAATAGGCAAGTCATGCTTGCAATAGTTCAGCCCACCCCCCTCAAAAGACGCGGCTTCCTCTCCGCTTCCCTTTACAACCCCAAGACAGATAGCCTCAAAAGCAAAGCACATCAACTGTGCTCAGCATGTGCCTGCCCTTCATACGTGAGAAACATGAGCAACGTACTGTGGATGGACGAGAATCCTACACCACCCAAGAAGCCCTGGAATGATGATTCCCCTGTAAATACCAATGAAAATGGTTTCCCATGGTTTCCCAGTGGTGCGAACGGATTTCCTCCATCCACAGTTTGGCAGGAGTGTTGGGGCTCCGACCAGCAGCTTCTTCAGCGCTCGCATATCTGCAAGCGTGAAGCTACATACACCATCAGACCATGCGGCTACACGTGCTGCATGGAAGCTGAGACTTGTCGGCCTCGCGACATGCTCAAATGGCGCAGGCGCAAGATTCTGCGGTACCAGCTGACCTGGATGGAATGTCACGTGTCCGATATATAGGTTGGCAGCACCACCCAGCCTGCGTGGGCGTCATCGGCAGCCAAACGTTGTGGAAGGACTTGGGCGGCAAGTTGATCACCTTGCGCTTGCCATCGCCATTGGCACATCATCTTGAAGTCGGGTCGCTGGGAATCCGGGCATCCTCTTTCTTTCGGCGGAGCATCACCATGCCCTAGGAGTGAAGGCCGGTACTTCATGCAATCTCCAAAATCGTTGTCATCCTGCTGACAGCAGGCCAGGTTGACAACTCGGCAATCTCAAATGTTGGCACGCAAACATCCGACGCAGGCTGAGCTGGCAATCCCTTTTGCACCCAACCCAACTTAGCCTCCACACAGCCAAGTCATGGAAAACTCTAAACTCAGAGCAGCACCAAAACATGGCGAATTTTCTGCACCTCAGCTGGGGCAGCTCTGAACTGTACAGGATCTTCTGGCTTCAACATGCACTCTAGCCCTAGCCCCGCACCTCTGTATCACCCTTCAAGCAAACTGAGCTTCCACACCAAGAGATGGTCGATCTTTGCTTTAGTTCCGTCCACTGCCTGTGACAGCTCTCTTTCAGTAAACCCTCATGGCGAATGCCAGAGATGGCCATGGGTCAAAAACCCGTACCCCCAGTGAACATCCCAATTCCCACTAAAATCCAACTAAAATGAGTAATGCACCCACCAACCAAAATAGGATCCCATTGGATATGCCCCATGGCCAAATCGCACCCATCCCCAACATTCTGGCTCGCCCCAGCCCAGTCTTTCCGGTCGCCTTGTCCTGAAGCTCGGGAAGCTGGATGGCGTTCTCGAACATCTTGCAGGACGCAAACGCTCAGGTGGCAAAGCAGACACGGGACTGTGGCTCAACAAAATGCATCCCCCAAATTTGGCCCCAAATGGACATGGAGACAAAGACTCAAACCTGCAGCTTGCCCAAGCTCTTTGAGTTTGAGCCACACCCATCTCTTCCGATGCTCAAAACCTCGCATGGAAGCTTCCTGCCTCAGACTCTTTGGACATGACATCGGGCCAGAGGAACTTTAACAAGGCGAAGAGCTCTCCGAGGTTGTTCTGGCAACGCCACTGTGAGTACACTGCACATTACGGCTTCTACTTTGAGTCAAGGCTTCCAGTCGTATCCCTGAGGTCGTACCCTAAAATCGTACCCCTAACGTGCACCCCGGTACCGCCTGCCAAAGTCTCTCATTTTCAGAGGGGTGGGACCCTAAGGGTGCAACTCTGGAAGATTTGATCCAGCCGAAGCCTGCAACGTGCCTGAGGTGTGTGTGTGTGTGTGTGCTTGAGTGGACAGCACTCCAGCCCAACGACAGCTAGGGCTTCTAGCCCTAAAAGCAATACACAGCCTCTGGGTGTGTCGATTCTTGAGGGAACCTTGGCTTTGTCGGTGGCTTGCAAGGGGACCCCAAAAGGAAAACGGCCGTGCTGTTGTTGGGACCCCGAAAGATACATATATATATAATATATATATAAATAAAAAGCTGCTTCTTCATGTCCCCTCACTGCCCCGTCGGCATGTCACTGACCTGACGGCCCGGCCTGCAAGGGAGTTCCGGTGAGGAGAAACCGCGCCGAGCAGGGCACCATGTCCAGAGACTGAGCCGAGGTCTGGAGGTCTTTTTTGGGAGGTACCCATCTGCCATCTGATGGGTCCAAATTAAAAGAGGGGACCACCGGTTTTAGCCCTTGTTTTCATTTACCAGGTTTTTCTGTTGATACCGAAACACACCCATTTTTTTGGTAAGTGTTAAAGGGACACTAGAAGGAAACCCGCCGTTTTCGTCCTGTTTGTTCTTGTCACAAGCAACTGGCTATCATACAAAGCATGCTAGAATGTCTGGAACTTGTGAACAGTTGCCAAGTGCCCAAGCAGCTTGACAAAGCGCGCTCTACACCCACTTCCGATTTTTGCGGGCGTCAGAAAGTTCTTTTCAGGCTTGCTCCTTCTGGCCTCGCGCACCTTGCTGCCCTGGTTCTTGATGCGGTGCGCCTGGCTGCCGTCCCAACCGCCTCGCCCGGAAGGAAGGCACCTGCCTCGTCCAGCACCAGGACCGACCAGTGGTGCCGCTGGAAGAAGTCCTCCGTGCCGCACAAGGTCTCGTAGGTGGTGATGATCACGTCCTGAAAGAGACGAGACCAAGGACAGGCCGCGCCCGTAGCAATACAAAAGGAAGGTGCAACTGGAGTAAAACTGGGCCTTCAGGAAGAAAAAAAACTTGCAAGGAACGAGCTCGCGCCTTCATGCCATACCAGATTTCATTGTCGTCCAAGCTATGCTGCCGCTCTTTGATGCTGCCGCAGACCTCCCACCGGTCTTGCTATTGAGTTGTATCGGGTTATGAGCATCTCTCATGTTCCATAGGCTCAATGATGCAGCTGGGCGATCCATCCCGGCTAAGAGTTCAACTTGTACTTGCTGGTGCGACAGGCAGGGATTCAGAAGTGGAATGACCCCTCATAAAGCATCCAACTGGTGGTGTCCTTCAGGGGAATCCCTGGGCTCATTCCCACATTCCCTACAACCAGCAAGTCTGGTGAGCTAGATGGGAAACAACGTCACGGCAAGTTATCCCCCGCCTTCGCCACGGAGAGGTGTGGCACAAAGCGCTTCGCCTTCCCAGAGCTCTGCATCTCATTACCACTCGACTCACATTGGATATGTATCAAAGGGGCACCCTAAAAATCCAAAAAAAATGCCTTCTTTCTTTCTGGCTTCCCTTCCAACCGAGGTGAGGCTACGCTCCAAAAAACACCCTCTTACACACGGAGCCCCAACCAGTCAGACCAATAAGTCAAGAAGGGGGGTGTCTTTTTTCGGAGTTGGTACTACCCGTTGCTGGGCTTGCTTCTTTTCGGGAAACCAAAGGAAAAACGAAAACCTTGCTCTTTTTTTGGGGAGGGCGAGGGGGCCAACCTCAAAACAAACGAGCCCAAGAGTCCATAGGACTTCCTCCCCCCGCCTCTCGCTGCCAGTTGCCGGCGCAGCTGAGTGGCACTACCACCAGGGCGGGGCCTCTCACCACGCCGGCGCCCTGGGCGTCGCACCGGTGGCATCCACAGATTCCAAGATTCACCGAAAAGCGGTGAATATATCAAAGAAGGGAAAGCAACGCCCTTGAACCGGTTTTTGGGGGGAGTGTTTTGGGGGCATCAAGCCCCTCTTAGACCTTAGAAGCAGAAAATTGGACTCGAGTCTATGAGTCGCAGACTTTGTGAAAGTGAGCTGCCAAAAAGCCAAAAAGGATCCGTTCACAGAAAAACCGGCCTGCAGGTAGCTGAGGAAGGTGAGCGTCTGCAGCGTCTTCCTGCCAAGATGCCACTTCCTCACTGAATGATTATAGTGTCTGCAACTGTCCAGTTCCCAAAGCCGACACGCCAGTTGTAAAGACTTGTACAAATGCTCTCATTTAGTTGCGCAATCTTCAGAGCCCACATGCTCCGAGCGCACCCGAGACCCATGTCATCTGCAAGGATACCGCCACAGCGATTGAAGAAGCCTCAGACACACGGTTTTTTTTGTTTCGGACCTGCCACAACCCGGCCACAGCGATGAAATCCTAGAATCTCTGCCAAGCTGCTGTGGATCAGCCAGTTGACACCGGTCTTCTGGTACTCCTAAAGACATGCCGTGTCCGTGCCACACAAAAAACGAGTTTAGTAATATGTGTTATTAAGTTCAGTTAAAAACAATAATGCTTAACTCGACAAAACAAAAACCGTAATACCCATAATACCCATAATAATGCCACAATACCCGTTTTGTATTTATCAATACCCAAATGCAACGCGAAGCCATCAACGCCCCAGCCTGCAGCTTGGTGCTCTCAGAGACCACCGGCTTCCGTGCGAAGCCCAGGAAGTCCGGCACGTCTCCTGGGCGTCGCGATTCGCTGAGATCCACGGCGACAAGTCGAGAGCTTTGAGTGGTTTAGTCTAACGGAAACCACAGGGATCCGGATGCATTTTTCACCTGAACATTGCAACTTGTCAATGGTGGTGTCCCCTTACTTTGGTGTTGAAAAAGCCTTGCATGGCATGTTTCAAATGGTTGCAAAATGGAGATCTTTTAAGGAGCCCTGAACCACCGCTAAGCCAGCTAAAAACCCTAAAGACCGAAGATGGCTGGGTGCTCCCCAAGCATTGTGAGCCACAGCCAGAGTCAGTGCTCTGCAGATCGCAAACACGAGCCATTTCGGGAGTGCCTCCGCGCTGGGCGGGTCGGTACGCGCGGAGCCACTTCTCCTCTACCACTTCCTGGCAACGGCACAAAAGGGTGGTAAAAAGCAACCTGAGAACGAGTCTTCGACAAAGCCTTGCGCCCTCAAGGAAATGTGACGAACATCGGCAGCGCCTGGGTCTTTGTCTCCAGATCCGCAATGAGGTAGGCTTAGTGCAGAGATAGGATCCGCACGAAAGCAGCATACAAATGGCTGGAAGTAACCTTTCTACTTGGAACTGACAGCGCTCTGATGCCTGCTCAGCCTCCCACCTGAAGAGGAGCTCTGGGACAGAACGATTGCCTTGAAGCAACACAGAAGGCCGTCGGTTTGGTGAACATATGGATGTGGGTCACCCCGCTACCCTGCTACCCCAAAAAACGTATCTAGGTGTTGACCCACACCAATATGAGTTGCAAGCTTAATATTGGCTATTGCTGCTGTTGTCGCTTAGTGACAGCAACTTGCGGTTGTCTCACAGTTCTGAGGCATAGGCATCGAAGCTTTCTTCAGCATCCACCTCCCCAGCTAGGACCACCCCCACACCACTGCCAATCTCACTCGGCCCGACCTGCACAATCGCGCCCACCTCCAATGGCCTCTTTGCCTGGGCAGACGACACATATCGACGCCGAGGCGATGCTTGCAAAGCTGAGAAAACATGCGCCGACATTGCTCAGTGTCGGAAACATGTTATGACTCACAACACTAATTTCAGCCCTTGTAGCATTCCCGACGCAAATTTGGGAAGGGGGGGTGCCCGAGTTCGAACCCCCTGGTCCGCGGCCAGTTTGGGCTGCCCTGCAAACCCGAAAAAACGGGAAAAGCGCTAAATCATGAGCCACGTTCGCAGTGTCGGCCGGAGCCGGAGGCTCCCAAGCGGCAACAGGGATGCGGGGGAAGCAGGGAACGGGAATCACCAATGGGGAACTTCATCTGTAGGCAGAGCTGTACACATCCCTTCTCGTTGCTTCTCTCCCTGTAAATTGGGTGACAAAACTGCTAGAGCACTGGCTGCAACAACCCCCATGCTCCCACGCACATCCTCGCCTCTCGCAACTTGCAGATCCGTGACACCGCTGGCCTCGCATCCGCACAGTTCACTGAGAAACCGGGGTGCCAGTGCAGCCAAGCACCAGAAAAGAACGCTAAAGGACTAAAAGGAGGCTAAGAATGCTTAAACTTTCAAGTGGGTATGGGTCAAAATTAAACCACCAGGATATGGACCGCAGGTTTTAGTCCATGTTTCCGTTTACCAGGATTCCATTTTGGGGTTACCCTATTTTCGACCAACAGCCACCTAATGCCTGCCACTTCCATCTCACAGGCGCGCGCCTGGAGGCAAAGGGCTCCACGTGCTGCAGCTGAGAAAGCAGAAAAGCGTCGCGTTGCCGGATGCCAAAGCCCCGGCTCCTGGCACGCACGGGCCATCCGGCCAGATAGGTCACGCCCAGCGCCTCGCTCATTGATCCAACCAGGGTTAAGTCGATAGTTTTCTTCAAAGGCAGGCAGCTCCCCAAGTCCAGCCTCTTGCTGAGTCGCAGCGCTTCCCCCATTCGCGCCTCAAGTGGCCAATGGGTGTCGCATCACCGCGGCAAGCTGGCTTGGTAATGCATCCCCATCGATGCAAGGCAGTGCAAACACATGAGTCAAGAATGAAACCTGCCGCAGCGAGTCCATCTGCTCGGAGATTTATCTCATTTTCTTCAATCAATCCGCTCAGTTGCTTAACGGGTCGATTGACGCATATAGTAAACTCATTTTTTTCTTAGAAAGACCATAAAGCTCAACACTTGCAACGCACAAAGACTACGAAACAGCCTAGCGCTCTCTTGAAAAAAAAGAAGAAGAAAAACTGCTTTTTTGGCCATGGGCATGCTCAATGGAAGACTTGGCGAGGCCAATCCGGCGCGCTTCTTTGAGCGATGATACATATCACTATGTACTGTGATGCCACGGCCATCGGCCGAGCCGGGGCAAAAAAGTTATGCCTTACAGTCGAAACCAAGGACAACTCTTGAGAGTCTCTTTAGCGTTCCATCATGCCGCAAGGTTAAAAACGCAAAGTTGCCGTTGCGCCACCTGGGCGTCTTCAAGCCATCCCGAGATGCGGTACTCTCACGCTCTCGCCGGTGAGCTACTGCGACCACGCCGGCCAGTTGGGCCGGCCTGGCCCGGCCCGAGCTTGTCCATCCTCATGAGGCCTCAACGCGGCACGTTGGACAACCCATGCCCGCAGGCCAGCGGCGAGTATTAGCTGGAAACTCGGTTTGTATTTCGGTTCTCCGGTCAGGTGCCGAGCGCATCAGCTCGACAATGTCGGAAAGGAGCCAACATGCTGCTTGTCGCAATGCCACAACTAACATAAATTACCGCTCGCCACTTAGCATACGAAGCAAAGCTGTTTTGCCATGTCAAACATGCTGTAGCGCTAAGGATGCATCCTGATGCAGCGGATGCAGCCCAACGCTGCAAGTTGGTTTGGGGGGATCATCAATTGGGTGGTCCATTTAGTCGCGCCACTCTTGAGGAAGGCTGCAGGAGAGCAATCATAAGAGCGGAAAAGTGGCCAAGCGAAGCTACGCTTTGCATGACATTGCCCTGGCCATAATTCCATATTCTTATTTGCTGCAAGCTGGATTCAGTTAGGGCTGGTACTACTACCTCCCCGCTACGAAAAAGTGGAAAGGACAGGGGTGAAAGAACATGAATCCTGTCCCATGGCTCGCATGGCTCCCACGGCGTGCGGGTCCCAACACGGGGGTTCCTGTACATAGGATGACCATTGGAGGAAACCACCAAACAAATGATATTTCCCACATAGTAAAAGCTACCCATGGTCAAAACTGGGGGCCTTTCACGGAATACTAATCAAGCCACACGTGGCCATGGCTCAAAATTTCATACCCCCAGTGAACATCCCAATCCAACCACTAAAATCCAAACGAAAATGGGTGGTGAATTCACCTACCAACCAAAATGGGATCCCAAAACGGTTTTCATCCCCAGCCACATAGCTCCCACCCTATGAGCCAAGCTGCCCAGCAGCTCCCGGTGCCGCTGCATGGCCTCTCCGCCCAGACGCAGGGCACAGCCTCAGCCAGCGCTTGCGCGGGCGCGCGACCGCCGTACCCACGTTACGGGGGGCCCGTTGCCAGGTGCCCTCCCACATGCCTTCTGTTGGTGGGAGGAAGAAATCATTCCACCAAGGGGACACATCGCAGATCTGCCAAGCTGCTCTCCATGTCTTCACGCGCCTCTTGCAGTGTTCGTGGCTTGGTGTCCTCCGATGCAGAATGAGACAGGCCAAAAGCCTCACATCCAAGCAAACATGCGCCTCTTTCTTGCGCTGCCGATGGGAAAAAAGTGCCGGTCCTGCACCATTTCCATGGCCAGAAGCTGAGACGCCATGATGGAGTCCAGGGCAGGGCGCAAGTCGCACAAAAAGCTCTGCTCCGAATCCTGGGCTTGGGATGGGCCCCTCTCGTCTCGTCTCGTCTCGAAAAGGACGGGATTGCGGGGCGAGGGCGCCCAGGGGGCTGGGGTTTGGGGTTTGGGGTTTGGGGTTTGGGGGGCGGGTAGCATATGCCGCCGAAAGCGCGTGACCCTTGTCCACCACAAACTGCAGGCGTCGCTGGTTCTGTGGCAGGCGCAGAAGCCACATGAGCTTCATCTGAATCCTCTCGAGTTCCTGCCGGCAGTTGCCCTATGTCAAAAATACAACCGGAAAGATTTCCTCAGGTCCAAACCTGGGTGTCTTTCGCCCTTTGTGGTGGCTTTACAGGAAAACCAGCCATATATATATATATATATGCATCTATTTCTGTTTTTCTCTGTCTTTTTTTTTTGGGGGGGGGGTGCCACAAAAAAAGGGAACTCAGGACATCAGGCCACGCACCCCCCACTTCTCCGAAGGTTTCAGGCGGACCTCCGTGCTCAGCTTGTCCCAGGGCGTGTCCGTGCGTTCGCGCTTCCCCGCAGAGCCCGGGCTCCGCGACCGCCGCTTCGGCGTGGCGCTGCGGGCGCGCTGATCCTGGCAGCGAGCAGCGCGTCCGACGTCGCGGCAGCGAAACCGCTCGATGTCTTCCAAAATCGTCCACCCGAAACCCCGAAGGGTGGCTCATGGCCCAAATTTCCCAAAAGGGAACCATGGGGAAACCCTTCTTTTTTCAGGGGGAGAAGCGTGAATATTTGAGTCACGAGCAAAACCGATCGGTATTGAAACGGGCTATCCAACACCAGGACACCAAGAAAGAAGCCTCTAGCGTCCACCTTTTTTCCGAAGGCTTTGCGACTTGAGCTTGTGAAGGCTCCTCAAGTGCCCCGCAGGGCCTGCAACGAGAGTGTCCAAAAGTAGCTGCGACTTCCAACTGACATAGACAAAACCAAAACAGCACACCAGGCTTGGATCCAACCATTCTAAGTTTGTCAAGACTACCTGCCCTTGAACTTCGGCCTTCGTTTTCTCATAGAGGAACTGCCGCCAACATCGCACCCACTCTGTGATGGTCTCGTCGCTGGCGCGCTCCTTGGCTGAGAGAACAAGTCTGCCGCAACCGCGAGGGCCGCTGCCAACTCTCAGCCAGCGCTCATCTGGCTGAACTCCCATCTTCGTAACACAAAAAGGGCTGTGGGTCAAATAATGGGATACTCCCAAGATGGCCCAAGCCCGCCCCGGCAAAGGGAAACCTTTAAAAAAAAGCCCGCGGTCCCCGGGTTTCGTCTCGCAAGCCGCCGAGCCGCCGAGCGCCGCTCCTGCTTCGGCTTCTCCGCGCGCGCGGCCTCGCGCCGCTCCGAGGCGTTGCTCGCCGTCTCGCTGGCGGAGTCGCTGCCTGTGAAAACCGGCGACTCGAAGAAACTACACCTCGCTCCCAACAAGCAACACCTCCTTAGAATTTCTTGATAACCCTTGTAGCTGTCCATGACAAAGCCTAGGCAACAGGCAGTAAAAATATAAAGGCTGCAGCAAAAAGCCAGTCTTTACCGAGGGAAGACATCTTCACGAATTCAGCTCGCCCCCGAAAAGAAAAGAATATATATATATATATAAATAGCAGCGCAGCTTGTGGAGCCCTCCTTTTGTGAAACCCTTCCAGCGCAGCCCCCTCGACCCCCCAATCCGATGGCCCTGGTGCCCCGACCTTCGGAGCCCGGGCCACCGATGCCCCGCTCCCGGTCCAGCTGCTCCGTGAGCTCCTGGACCGAAACCCCGAAACCCGGAGCTCGGAGCTCGGAGCTGGGGCCCAGTCTTGAGTCAGCAAAACCTGGGACTAACAACAAAAGATGGAATAAAGGAACAACAAAAACGAGGTGTCGATTCACCAAAGGCCCTGACCAGGGATACCTCTTCCCATTTGCTGAACCTAGTCCTTCTTGGGGTTTCCTGAATGGCGACCCTATGATTGGGCCCAAAATGAACCTCATCCTTTTGTACGTGGTTTCCTTAATGAGTGGTCCTCTTGGGTCCAAAATGAGTCACAATCAAAACCTGGTATTAACATGGCGCACCCAAACCAATGTAAGAATTACAAAGGCGGCCGCAACTAGTTCTGGCTGGGACTTGCCCTTACTAACCTTAATTTACCCGGGTTTCGATTATGGCTCAAATGACCATGCATAGCTTTTGGGTGAACCTCATCCTTTTGGCGGTTTCCTTAATGGTGACCCTATGCATCTCGAATATCACGGGTTGTTTGATCTTATGAATGCCAACCTTTAAAACACCACTGGCTCTCTGTCATACAAAAACACCAAGTACCCAGAACCATGTAAAGATTTGAGAAGGCGGCCAAGCTTTGGGTGTCACTTGAACCCGCGGCGTGTTGCCGCTTCCGCACCTTCACGGTAGGCAAATCCAACATCAGCGTGGCCGGCAGAGTCTTGCCCAGGGAGCGGCCTAGCCTGGCAAAGACATCAAGACGGACTCCTTTCCAGTGCGAGACACGGGACCTTCATCCTCAAATCTGGGCTGTCTGTTTTCAGATCTGCGAGAAGTGCCTCACTTGTGGGTTAAGTATGGAAACCCCACCACTAAACCATCTAAAAAGAACAAAAAACCAAAGTCGAACCGGACAATTCGCTGGTTGAACCGCCAAGAAATGCTCATCTTTTGGCTCGTTGCCGCTCTATTTTGACCGCCTTCCGTGTCACTCCCCGCCTGTTTTGGATGACGCCCATGTCGAAGGAGTCCAAGCCACTGGCGAAGAAGCCCTGGTCCAGGTTGTCCATGTCGATCTCCTGAGCTCAAAAATTGGCCGTGGTGGTCAAAACCGTTAAACGGGATCCCATTTTGCCAGGGCTTAAGCCATTTTTGGGGGTTATCACATTTTTGACCCACTGCCATATACTCGTTACCCGATATGGCTGTGGGTCAAAACCAATAGTACCATTTTGGGATAGGTGAATTCACAACCCATTTTAGAACCTATTTTAGTGGTTGGATTGGTTGATGTTCACTGGGGGTACGATTTTTTTGGGATTTTGACCCATGGCCAATGCGCGAGCTTTGGATTGGGATTTGGACTTGAAGCGGTTTTTGAGGGGTCAATGGGACACCACCCCCTAACCAGTAAACCACCGGGTTTACAAACCACCAATTCGGGGTAAGCTGACTATTCTCACTCCCCGGGTGGATTGGCCGGTTCTGCAAAAAACAAGAACGCGAGAGCGCCGAAGAGCGTAGCCCATCTCGGTCATGATGCCGGAGAGCACGTCCAGCGCGGGTACCTGGGGCTCCTGGCTGATTGCATCTTTGGGATATCAAGCCGCAACACTTTTGTTTTCAGAGGGGCAGTCGCATTCCTTGCAAACCAACTCCCAGTTGGAAAAGTCCGCATGTGGTGCAGTAGGGTGACAGCCCGTGCTTCCAAGACAAGCCTTGCTCGTTCGTGCTTTTTTTCTTCCAGTTGGAAGCCAGTGGTTTCTTCCGGGCGGGATGAAAAAAAAAAAACTACAACAATGAGGAAAAAAAGAAAACAAAAAAAGAGGGACTTGATCCGTCCTTGATCTTCTTCCGCCGGCTGCGCTCCGGCAGGCGGTTGATGCTCAGGGTGGGCTCGTAAGGCCACTCTTTGGGCCTCGCACGCCCCCTACTCTCGACCTGGGGATCACTCACGTGTGGTTGTCAAAAATCCTTGACCCCAAAATGGCCCGCGCTGGGTGTATGGCAACGTGGACTACAACCTGCGGTTCCCTGGTAGTTTCATTTTGACCCCTACCCACTAGCAAATCGGAATGCCGAATCGGGCGCACTTCCGGGAGAGCCCAGGAAGCTATGGCCATAAAAAGAGCGAAAAACCAACAGCCCAGACAAGATGCTTGTACTGGATCAGCACACCCGTGCCCTCGTTGTCTTTGTCCTGTCAAAGCTACGGAGCAGACTTCTTGCCCGAAAAAAACCAGGGGCAAAGTTGTGCGTCCTCGGGCCGATAGCCCGGGACCAAGCCCAACACCTTGGCGCCGTAGCTGGTATGAAACCTCAGATGCCACAGGGAACAAGGGAACGAAATTGAACTCTGGGCTCCAACCGTTTTCAGATGCTAAAAGTGCCCCACTTGTGGGTCAAAGCTGCAAACCCAACCACTAAACCAACTATATAGTATCTAAAAAAAGTGAGAACTGTTCGGCCTCAGCCTTATGCTGATGCTCGAAGCTCGGTCCGAGAAGCGTTAAGATCCGGTCATTCACCCTGCCATGGACGTGCTGGTCTACGTACTGCTGCAAGTTCCTGACTCCGCTGGTGGCATAATCCAGACACCTCGAGCAGTGCCAACTGTGTCCTCAAGATGAAAAGTGGAAATTCCGGTAGGGAGGCCGTTCCTTGACTATCTACGCTTTGGAATGATGGCAGTAACTTGCTGGTGCTCAGTAGGGAATGGGTGTTGGGGATGAACTGGAAGGGGATTCCCTTAAAGGAAACAACCAGTTGAATGGTTATTTCGGGGTCGTTCCATTTCGCATCCACTTCGCAACCCGAGCTTGCGACTCAAGGCACAGGGTCACGGCGCACACCGAATCCACCAGTGGGTCCAGCCGCGCCAGGTGCAGCGCAAAACTCCGAAGCTCGGTTCCCAGACCCCTGGAGAGAAGAGCTCCGGTTGCCCGAAGGGGCCAATTGAACACGAAGCGGTTGCAAGCAAGCAGGCAGGCATGAAACCACCAAGCTCTGTCTAAAAAGAATGTCTTGCGAATGTCGGGGTTGATCAACAGGTCCGGTAAAAACATGGAATGACCATTGCTTGGAAAACCACCACAAAGATATGATATGTTCACCACGTGAGCAACAACAATACCCATGGTCAAAACTGGGGGCCCTTGTACGGGACTAGTTGATATCAAGCCCCACATGTTTCTCCTTGGAAAGCAAATACCAGCCAGACCCTTCTGGATCCACCCCTACCACACCCTCTCCGCATGTTTTGTCTGTGCTCTTTGGTGTTCCACCTCAAGAAAGTGCGTGTCTCTTTGTGGGGGGGGGTGAGTGGACAGTATATACGGGTGGACCCCCATGGCTTTGGCATCAACGTTTCGACCGTCGCATCGGATCGGAGCCTGTGCTCGGTGTGGGCGTTGATGGCGATGAGCTGCACCACTTTGCCGCTCGGCACGTGGCCCGCGAAGACCTGCTGGAACTTCTGCTTGAAGACCTCGCGGCTTTTCCAAAATCCACGAAGTCTCTGAAGAAAAAATAGCACATGGCTCTGGGTCAAAAAAAGGAAGCCTAAATGGAACCCTGGTAAATGGACACATGGACTAAAACCTGCGGTCCCATGGTGGCTTAATTTTGACCATACCCACATGGGGCTTCTTTCAATGATTTGTTTTTTCCAAAAACACCTCGGGTTGGGTTTGGCCAAAAACCCAATGTTTTGTTCTTCAAAAACATGGTGACAGACCCTGCAGTTAGCCAAAGGCCCATAGTAGCACGACGCGAAGATCTCGTGCAACAACGCGCCACTAATGCAGCAAAGACTCATCCTGTGGCGTGCTAATGCGCTGCGTATAAAGAACGGCTTCCACTTTGCCGTTCACTTCCTTGGCCACCGAAGGTTGAGCGACCTTGAGATTCCCCTAGAGAAGGATCGTATCTGTGTAATCTGATCAACTTACTTCTTTGCGACCCTTTTTTGGAAAATTCCACGCGGGGGAACTCCAATAACTTCATAAATTGGCCACAAAAGAAAATTTGGGGGGGTCTGTGCATGTAAGAACAATCAAACAGAGTCCAGAAACCGCATTCTCAAGAGCAAGCATCATCCTGCTGCCCATGGCTTCAGCTTAAAATCAAACATCGGTTGACCCGCTCGCATGCTTTCTTTCGGCCAAAGATAACAAATAACGAAAGTTATTCAGCATTCTGTGCTTTTTCTTGAGAGTGTGGTAGTAAGATCCATCTGCGAAACTTAAAAGCGCCATGAGATCTGAAGCAAATGCCCACTGAACCCACCAGCTGTCAAATGCAGTGATAGACCTCTCAGGCAGCCAGGTGGCCACCGCGAAATTGGTCGTGGGCGATGTTTCCAGTCTCTTCAGGAGGCCTGCAGCTCGCGCATTCTGATTTGGCCATGGGTCAAAATCCAAATCGTACCTCCAGTGAACATCCCAATCCCCGCTAAAATAGGTTCTAAACTGGGTGGTGAATTCACCTACCAACCAAAATGGGATCCCATTGGTTTTGACAACCACAGCCATGTTTTCTCATGAACATTATCATAAGGCGCGCTGGGAGCCTTCAAACGCCTTCTCAAGGATCGCAACATCCAAAGCTCCAGGCCTTCTCTTGGCGCGCGCATGTGCGGCTTCCAGGCGATCTCCTGCGTGCCCACCCGGTGAAGCCTTCATTTGCCGAGTCCGGGTTTTTGGACAATGAACCGGCAAGGGAACTCTCCCGAGAAAAAACAAATAAACAAGAAAGGAAAAGAAATCGGATGGAGGGCTTTTCTTCGGGGTCATTCCATTTCTCATTCCCCTAAACCAAGTCATCTCCCCGGCCGACCGGCCGGATCCCGTTTCCTCCAGCCGCTCCAGTGCGGGCAGGTCCTCTGGCACGGCAAAGCGCACCTGGCACCGCCAAGGCTCAATCCCAAGGCTCGCGCCCGTTGAAAGGTCTTGCTGCTCGTGAGGCCATCTCAGTTGTCGAGGTGCGGAAAAGGAGTTGTTTCCACAAGATGCGGATACATGTTGCTTTGCTGATATTGGATACTTTTGGCAAGACAAAAAGGCTGCTCCGCGCATTTCTGAGAGTAGCGAACTCGACGAGCTCCTTTGCCATAGTAGCTTCATGCTTTGAAGCTCGCAAGAAGTGGCTTCCATATCCAGCTTGAAGCTCCCTCGCCTTGTAGCCCTTGAAGGTGAGCAACTGCGTAAACATCTGCTGCCCGCACCTAAGTCGTATCTTGCGAGCTCGCTGCACATCTGCGTGCTGGTTTCACATGAATGACCATTCCCTCTTGTCTCATCCGAGTCATCATCAAAGCCGCCCGGTATTAAAAGGTCTTACCCAAACTCATGTAAGGAATCAAAAAGGCAGCTGCACCCATTTGTGGCAAGGGGATTCTCCCCTACCAGCCTTCATCTACCCGGGTTTTGATGGTGGTTCATCTTGTCCCATCTATTGGGTGTATTTTTTTGGAAGACCCCTCCAAAATCGGTGGTCTCCTTTTGGTCTCCCTCTAAAACCGCCCACAAAAACAGGAGTACCAGCTTTTTAAAAAAAAGAAGTCGCTCCAGACCCTGGTCATCAGGGCTGTGGTTGAAATGGAATCCAATTCTGTGATACAGAAAGGGCACAAACCCTAAAGACCAACCGACTGCCCCCTCCCCCCCAACAAAAAAAATGGAGGAGATTCCCATCTTGTATCAGAGAAGCGATTGTGTATATATATATATATATATATATATATATATGTGATCCGAAACCCAACGAACCCCTCAGCGCCGGGTGGGAAAAGGCCAAAGCCGAGCCGAGCCTTGAATCTATGGCTCCACAGCAAAGCCGAAGCGAATAACCAGCTGAGGTTCAGGTTCCGTGGAACCCCTCAACAAAAACTCGCCGCAGCGGTCAGTTTGCCGCTCCCGAGCCAAGGGTCTCCTCCAGCGGAAACGGCTGGGCGCGCTTCACCTCCGGGAAGAGCCCCGCCATGGCCGCCGCCATAGCCAGCGCCGCCACCGGCGGCCTCGAATGGGCGGTTTCTGGGGTCAGACGAACAGGTGGCCGAACCAGTGGCTGATTTCGGTGTGCTTGGTTTTAACCTGGAGTGAGAACAACCAGCGAACCAAATCAGCAAATTTCAGCTGAAGCTCAAGAATTGGCAAATCACACTTGAAAAGGTTGCACACTGCTGGTGTCCATTGAAACGATTGCCACGTTTTCCATCACCTTTGCGCTGGTCGTGGTTTCGATGGTCCGGTGGTTAGGCCAGACTTACCCACTCGTCCATTCCAAATCCAATTCAAATCAAAGAGCCCCGCCCAAACCGAAGCCCAAACGTCCCACCAAATCAAACGCCCCCCCCCCACCTCCCAGAACCCTTCCCCAAAAGCCCCACCCAACGGACCCCCCCCCTCCCCCACGTCCCAAGCCCCGAAGCACCGAAGCCCCGAAGCCGAGCAACGGGGCGATGTCCACCAGACAGATGCCCAAAGACCCTTCCGCCAGCTGCCCGCTGCGCTGCATCTGCTGCACCAGCGAGGCGAAGAGCTGCTCCGCCTACAGACAGGAGAGGGGACCGCGGAAGTTTGGGGGTCCGCGGGTTTTTCCATCAAACCAAGGGCTTCAGGTGCCAGGTTGGGGGGGGGGTGACCAAGTGGCCTTTTTGAGAAAACTGGTTTCCGTAAAACGGCGTCGGTGCCATTTTGGGGGGAGGGGGGGCGGCCAGCCGAGTATGGGGAGAACACCGTGCCCAAAAACAAAGCGGTTTAGAGGTGTGGAGGAAGTGAAAGAAGTCGCCTTTCAGGCAACGCATCAAGAACCAAATTGTGGAATGGAAATTCTCAGAACATCACAGCACCAAGATTTGTGGAATGTGGCAATAGAATTTCCATTGTGGAATGTGGTTCAATGAGTCGAGAACATTGTGCAATGAATCGAGAACATTGTGCAATGAATCGAGAACCAAATCTGCAGCTGAAAACGTCCAATATCAGAACAGCACCTCCAGCCGCTTTCGCAAAAACTATGCCCACCTCGGCACCGCCCAGCACCTCAGACGAATCAACACCTTCCAAGCGCAAGAAGAAAAGTTACCTAGATAGCCAAGTTGCTGCCTTTTTCAGTCACGGTTGCTGGTTTTTGAGTAAAGTGCATGGAAAAAGCAGCAACTGGCGATCCAGGTATTCTCTTTTAAGGGAATCAAGGAAGCTGACCATTTTGGCGTTCCTCAATTTTGAGGCAAACCCTTTCCCCCGGTTTCCGAATCAGCAAAATCCTGAAAGTCCCCACACCTTTCCACAGCAACCGCTCTCTGCCAAAGGTGGCCTCTTGGACAGATTGATAGGGTGTCCCTGGCATTCCGGGGCATAAAACCCGGCAAAAGACCCGGTGGAAAACCCATCTGCTCCTAACCAAGCTCAGCGAAAAGCACACCAACCGCTCCAAACATAGGTCCTTTTAAAGCAAATAGATGGTAGATGATGAAACCACCAGGTAAATCAGGAATCGCCATCTATTTTTCGACCAAAACAACCCACAAAGGACACCAACCGCTCCAAAAAAAACCCTCCGGGGCTCCCTGCTCCGTGGGCGAAGCTCCGCGTGGGAGGCGACAAAGGCGCTGCTTCCTCCAACTCCCGGCGGCACACCTGCGCGACCCGGAGAACGGACTGCCCAGACCCCCAGCCTGGATCGCCAGTGGCTTTTTCGCTTTTCTCCAAAACCCGCAACAGTGACTGAAAAAAAGAAAGCAGCAACTTGGCTATCTAGGAGGTGATGCCAAGGATATGGCTGTGGTTGTCAAAACCCAGGAAACCCCTGGTGAACATCAAAGTAGGTGGCAAATGGATGCTCATCCACCCCAAAATGGAGCCATAGGTTAGCCGTATATAAAGGTCCTGTACTGGTTATGCAAAGCTTAGAAAAGGGACTAGAGAGAGCAGGTTCTTAGATTTAGGCCATGCACAGGAGGAATTGAAAGATTCGGGAAAAATAGTGGACGTTCACATAAACTGTGTCCAGGCATTCTCAGGGTACCCATTAATATTCATGGGCACGTGACATCGCAACACTATGACACCATGACACGATGTGAATATCCCTTGGTGATTCCGGAGTGCCTGCAAGAAGAGTGTCTTGCCGGCGTCGATCTTCCGATGCTTCCTTGGCAGTTTTGAAAGACCAAACGCCTGACCGAACCTTGGTTGTGGGCGAGACCCCTCTGCAAAAAGTCGAAAACTGCTTTGTGGGTTCAATGGAAACCCCAATGAGTTTCAAGCAAAAGGTGAAAGTTTAAAGATCCAACCCAATAGCAATCAACAAAGTAGAATCCTTTGCCGCTTGCCAGGCGTCAGTCCCGAGAGCATTCCCGCAGGATTGTTCACGTCCCCAGTCATTACCTCAAGCAAGCTTCACCAATCGAAGAAGCCGACAGCCCACATCTGCAAGTCATTGAAATCAAGCTGTATGATTTGGGAGGAACCAGCTGCTCAATTTTCATGGGACACCCCCTCGTGGGCAAAAATCCCCAAATGACGTCCACCAAAGGGCCTGGGACCCATTAAATCTCATACCCAGCTGTGCCTTTCTTAATTCCAACTTGATTCATCTCAAGCCCAAACAATCCGTGCCTTGTGTGGCACACCCTTGGAGCACATCTGGATCTTGGGGGAAATGAGACGCTCCTGTCGAAGCAAAGGTCCCGGTCCAGGACCACCCCGCAATGTGGTCTTGGGGTTCGGCCAGGCAGCTTTTTTGCGAGCAAGACGAGCAGTTCAAAATATGCCAGCGAGAAAGGGAGAAACGTCCCAGAGAAAAGCTCAGCAAACAGCAAAGGACGTATTGAACTGTATGGTACACTGTGACAGGTGTGATTTCTTCTTCTGCCCTTGGGCATCTGGTTCATTTCACAAACACCGAAGCTCTCGTATTTCTTGTAGCTGTGGCTCGGTCTCTTTCAGCATGATTCAAGATTGACCTTTTTCCCTGTTTGGAGAATTCCTCAATTTCCTCGTAACAAAATGTGCCCCGCGCCCTGTCCTCATCTGAGTTAATGGCCACCATGGTGAGGGGGAACTCCTTCAAGGATTTCCCCCGCGGCAGCTCCTCAGGTGGAACCCCGGCGCACTGTCCTAGTCCCATCATTTCGATCTCTTGACATCTAGGAGGAATCTTCTTTTCTGGAAACCTGTTCCTTCTTGAAGAAAATCAAATCAATAACCTCCTCTGCTCCCTGAACACATCTAGGAAACTCTTCCAACTCGGCAAATCCTCCTAAAAACACACAAACAATCAGGCAAATGCGAAGCCCAAAAGGAAAGACCACAAGCTCGGAAAAGAAAAACAAAACTCCGTTCCACCCCAACAGCACCCCCACCCGCAAGAAAAGAAACAGACATGCCTTCCCCCACAACAAAAATGCCTTCCCCCACCAGGAAAAAAAGAGGAGAAAAAGATATGCCTGCTCCCCCACCAAAAAAACAACTCTGCTCCCCCCCCCCCCCCCGCCCCCCCCAAAAAAAAAAGAAGTCCTTGATCATCTCGAAGACTTTGATGAGCAGCGCGGCATCCTGGCAGTTGGCGTCCACCACGAAGCGCGGCTGGGTGGCGAACTCCTCGCCGGTGAAGTAAGTCTCCACGAAGGACAGCAGGTCCTCGGGATTGGGGCGGGCACGCTTCTTGGAAAGGCGCGGGTTTTGTGGGGAAGTTTTGGGGGTTTTGTCCTTGCTGTGAGTACCTACACTGCAGGTCAGTTCACGGTCAGATTTGACGGGGTTTGGTTTTGGGGTAGGTTCTGGTTGGGGGGGTTGGGGAGGTTTTGGATTTGGGGGGGTGGTGGTTGGGGGTCTGGATTTGGGGTGGTGGTTAGCTTGATGTCTAGGCCCGCAAAAAGCGAAGAAGTTTGGGGGGTCCGCCTCTCGACTCGAGACTCGAGGCCCTGCCTTGAACTGTAGCTCGCCTGGACGAATGAAAGACAACCCAGACTCAAAAACAGCAAGACATCCCAGGCCTGGTGGCAAGTCGATGTCGAATGGTGCCATAGCCACCGCTCAAAACACCACACTCGTTGGAAATCTTGAGTCACATCTTGTCTGCTCTCTGGTGTCGGCTGGTAAAATGAGCCCAAGGCTAACCCCCGACTCAATGCTGCGGGCCAGGTGCGATGCAAGGGTGAAGCTCCGTGCCGCAAAACAAACCAAAAAAAAACGATGCATATCCCTTTGCCCCCGCCCTTCAGAGTATGAGGGGACCACAAAAGACATCCCCTGACACAAGCTCTCGTTGATTGTCTCACTCGTGGATGCAAGCAAAATAGTTGAAGTCTATCCAAACCGTCGCCAACTCAATCATTCTAAGCAAAGGGCATGAGAATTGCAACTGACCGTCGCCAGTCCCTGAGGCCCGAGACTTGCATCTCTTCTTCGGGCATGATCTCCGTGACCCGCCCTCTGAGGATAGCGGGACCATGCTTACCTGCGCCATTCCAGGAGTCTGCTCGTCTGATGCCCGACTGCAAGTGTGCAACGGCAACAAGGGAACAGTGGGGGAAGGCAACAAGGGAAAAGTGAGCATGACGATCATAGCAGACAAGTGTATATGGTTTATGCTTCAATGATGTCCGAATGATGGTCAAATCATTGAAGTAGCAAATATGCCACTTCCACACATGTCAGGCCACAACTGCAAGAGGAGCTCAAAGAAAGGACTTGGGATTAACCCGTTTGCTTTTTATTTGTTGTGGTGTGGTTTCTCTGGTTTTGTTCAAAACAAACAAAACATTTTCGCCTGAAGACAGGCAGCTCATGGACTGGTTTGTTGTGTTTTTTTGCTGTTTTGTTTGTTTTGGCTGATTTGGCTTACTTGGATTTTTGTGTTTTCTTGGTTGTACTGCTGATTTGAATTCTTTGAAAGGGGCTCCAGGATGTCTTGTTCGCCAGGCTTCACCTGAAAACCAACAAATGCTTGTCTGCGTCTGTGTTGTTTGTGTTTCTAGCATTGTCTTGAATTGGTGCAGAATTCAGCACAAGCCTGCAATTAAAAAGCGCGCTTTCTGGATCCCCTGCAAAAAAACAACACCTGCACAATGTGTGTGTGTGTCCCAACCAAACATGCACAAAGAGAGGATGAAAGACACGAGCATCTTCAGCCACACAGAGTTATGAGAACTTGCCCTCCCTCGAACCATGGAAGTTCCCAAACGGATCCTGAAATGGACGACTTGGTGACCCTAGGCCAAAACAAATGGGAGCTTCCGGCTGTTCGTCTGAGGGGTGGCCATGGGCCAAAAGCCAAATCGGTTAGCCCCCAGTGAACATCCCAATCCAACCACTAAAAGAGGTTCTAAAATGGGTGGTGTCACCTACCAACCAAAATGGGATCCCAAAACGGTTTTGACCACCACAGCCATGTGAAGCACTTTGCTTGTCCAGTTGACCGATGCGCTTGAACCACTTCCGCCGCGGTTTTCCCATGCTGGGGCGCCGGCAAACTGGGCACGACCACTTCTCCTCGACCTTCAGGGACTCGAAATCCACGATCCTGGCAAAAAAATCAGAGCCGCTGAAAAAGGGCAAGCCTTGCAAGCCTCGCAATCAGGAGAAATTGAAAAGCAGTGAACTGTGGATAATATGAGTCACAATCAAACCCTGGTACAAAAATGGTGAAAGGCGGCCGCAACTATTTCCGGCTGGGACTGCCCCTCACTAACCTTCATCAACCCGGGTTTTGATTGTGGCTCATATGAAGATAGATAGCTTTATGATTGACTCCCAACGGTCTGTCCGAGTCCGAATGGCCCCCTGCCTCTCGATGCACTGCACATGAAATGCCCGGGGGCAGTGCTCACAGAGGAGCAACCGGCCACCACTCTGGCAGACCTGCAAGACAATAGCGATGCAGACGTTCGGGATTTCGCAACACATTGCTGGCGCCTCGCAGAAGTCATGGTTCAGCGAGTCTCCACCTGGGGCTACAGCTGCTCTGTCCCACGGCTGTGGAGAGTGCAGAGAAATTGGTTCACTCGCGCATTCCTTTGGGTCCAGGCTGATCTCCTGGAATGCAAACGGAGATGCAAAAGGGCATAGCCATCCCCGATTCTCATGAATGAGCAACTGCCACAAGTCAAAGCTTGAGAATTCCGGCCAGTTCCCAGCCCGCCTGCACCATCTCTCCGCGATCGCACATCAAAGCCGTGGCATCAGAGCCAGTGGCTGCGAAAAAGAAGGGCTCTTTCATAGGCATGTGGGGCAAACATAAACCAAGCATACCACACAGAGTCAAGAGTTACGACCCGCAACTTTCGTGCTTGACCCTGGCAGCGGGCTGCACCGCTGCACATCCACAAATGCATTCGTGCGGCGGGCTTCAATCGTAGAAATCAGCCACTGGCGAACGTCTGTAGCGTCTTCTTGGAAGAAGACCAATGTACTCGCGCACAGGAAAAGCGCACGGCCAGCTGTGACTTCAATCTTGGCCGTCAAAGGTATGGGTTGCCCAGGAAGACCTTAGGCCCCATTGTCAATCGATCAAGACTATCGCTAGCCAGCAATACGCTGGCTCATCAACAATGTGGCCACATGCGACAAGAGCTTTTATCCATCAATGTCCGCGTCCTTGATGTCAGCCCTAGGCGCCTGCAAAAGTAAAAGCACGCAGTCGGCTCATGGAAGCTGGACAAAGTCCGTGGAGTGAATGGCAAGACACAGTAGCATACAGTGTGTCTTGACACTGGCAAACAAGGTCAGCTTCAGGCAAAGAAGGCGTTGCACTGGCCAACAGTGTACCAAATTGCAACATGAGGACAGCATGCTGCATTGCTTCCGCTAGTGAAGCTCAGTTTAGTTGACATGCTGTTGTACCTGCATGCCGTTCCGTGTCTGCAGCAGGAACACTCCGTCCCCGACTTCGGCAAGGCCGCTATCCAAAAGGCTTCTCAGGCACCCGACCCCCGATTCTGGTGACCCTGCCGGGCTTGGGGTTTGATGACCACTGTTCCCAGATTATTCAGCCTGCCCTTGGCATGCCCTCTGTCTGTTGTGCAGGCCAAACGAAATCTCCCGCGAAAAGGCGGGCTTCCGCTTCACAGAACAGGCTGCATGGTCAATGTCAAGCTAAATGTGCTGCAACTCCAATGGGCTGACTGTGATTGAGACATCGCCATTGCGTCTGAACCCTTCTCGTCCATAGGACAAGACAAAATGATCACAACTTGCTGATAGTGCCCTTGATACACATACACATCACTCTCAGCTCTTCCAAAACTGTCGCACGCGTCACATCGGCTCCATCCTTGAACATGCTCAAGCGCGTTTTCGCAAGAACCTAGTACCTAGCACCGCACCATCGCACCTAGTCGAGCCTAGGCTTGGGGCGTTGTTGCGTGGTCTGATTCGACCCTGTGTGCCCTTTTAGGGCAAGAAAAGGCACCGCCTGCGCTGGTGGCAAGCGGGCTTGCAAACTGTTTGCGCGAGCGCGCAAGCACGGAACATCAGGATGTCCTTGGAAAATATTGGCTTGAAGTGGTACGGTCAGAAACCAGTCTAAGCATCTGACTTCACTATGTCTGGCATCCTAAAAAAAAAACGTAAAACATATAAGAACCGCAAACTTTCAGGCACACCCATACTGTACCACGTGCGCAAATGAAAATCAGCTGAAAACCCTCTGCTTTCCTTGCGTGAGCCTGTGCAAATATCAGCCATGAATGTTGACCCCAATCAGTTTATTGATATGTTTATTGATATGGGGCATGTGTTTCTGGGTTTAGTGGGGAATCAAAGCACTTTTGGAGGACCAAAAACCACCCCATATTGATATGGGCTGACCAACCATCAAGTCCCAAAGATCATGAAACATGGAGCAGAAGGTGCGCGTTCAACCAAGACGTGTGCTGACGTTCCTGGTGTTCGATGCCTTGGAGCCTGTGCTCCAATCGTATGTCCAGCCGGAGTAGCTTCTGCCACCGGCCAGGCCACTCGTCCCCTAGTCCTATAAACAAAATTTCGGAGGATCCCGCACCGGGCCCCAGGGCCCAGGACGAGGACCTTAAAAAAGGAATCTCAGGAGGAGCAGCGCGATCCAAGCGACTTGGTCGAGATTGGAACGCCTGAGTGCGCTTGCTGTTCAAAGGCCAAGATCGGATCACCAAGTCGATAGGCACAACACCGAGTCGCAAACGACGCACAGAAGCAACCATATGTATCAATCAAGGCACGAGAGCTCGTCCTCTGCTTCTGATTTGGTGCAGTCGAATGGCTCTGTGCTGTCAGAAAGTCCTCGGCATGCGAAGCGGAGTCCTTGAACTCAAAACGCTAGTTAGAAATGTATCTGGAGAGAAACTGCCGGTTTTCCTTTTTGAACTCCCATGCTACACACCCGAGTGACTGCAATGTACAAGTTGCCTGGCTTGTTTTGCTGGTCTCCCAGCCGAGCCACGCTCTCCTATGTGGATGGCGAGCAGATCTCCTGCTGGAACCTCATGGAAGGTCGAGGCGCGCAAGGGTTTATTTGGGTCACAATCAAAACCGATCGGTAGTAAAATGGTTCACCCGGGACCATGCTTCAAGAATTTGAGGCGGATATCCTTTCACCCATTTATGGCCAGGAGATTGTTCCTTACCCTCCAATTATCCGAATCGGTTTTGAGTATGACCCATGTGATGGTGCCAAGTAGCGGTGCCCATGACAACCTCAGCGCGGCAAGAAGAAGCTATTGACCCCACCCCGTGAGTCGTTGCATTATCTGGCGATGCGAGAGGGGACTAGCATTCATAATGTGGATGGATGAAATGCCTTTCTCACCACCTAAGAAACCCTGGAATGGTTCGATTCCCTGTAAATACCAACAAGCCATGTCTTCCCATGGTTTCAAAGTGGTGCGAAATGGGTTTCGTCCATCCACAGTATATTGTTCGACCCTCAATTATCTGACCTACACACACCCTTTGCATGGAACCAATCACCGGGACTCTTTTTAGTGAACAGGCTGGGGTCTCGGTGGGACTTGGACTTGCTAGTACTTACTGGGGTAGTGCCAAGACTAAACTTGGTATTGCCAAGGCTTGCTCCCAGATTCCCCGTACTTACTTTGTATTTCTTAGTCGAAATTTAGTACAAGGCTGAGGCTTTCGGAATTTCAGCAACCCAAAAAATGGTTGGGCACGATCGAGGACCTCAAAACAGCCACATTAAAAAGGATCAGCTTGTGAGCAACCCCTTTCTGTCACTGGATGCCCGTACGTGTGTGTAAAGAAGTTATCTTAAATTTGATGGTTTGGGGACCACTTGAAAAAGGTTTTCCTCATGTGTGCCCGGATTTGTTTGCCCGCCTTTTTTTGCCCGGCATTTTTTGGCCAGTTGTTATTTGCCCGTTTTTGCCCCAGCATTTTTTCCGGCAAAACACTTCCCCAAAACAGTTACAGGATCCCGAATTGGGAAAACAACTTTCTACAATGGAGGCCCCAATTACAATTGGGGGTCAAACATTATCCATTTTGCTTGCGCCCATAGCGCGGCGACAGCAAGAAGACCAACTCGATACTTTGCACAATACGTGCCTGACGCATTCTGACCTAAGCTGACCGGCCTGCACGCCTCGAACTTTTTGGTCCTTTCCCCAATTGCTGACTTCGGCCTCTCACTTCCGTGGATTCGCCAAAAAGAAGCTCCTCAAACGTCAGTGACTAAAGCTCCTGAACGCAGGGCCGAGTATTATTTAGGGCGGCCACCCAAAAACTCACACGTGAGTCATAATCAAAACCGATCGGTATTGAAATGGTCTACCCAGAACCACGTAAAGAACTACAAAAGCGGATATCCGCACCCATTTAAGGAGATTGCCCCTTACTACCATTACCCGGGTGTTCATTCTGACTCGTGTATTTTGGGTGTGGCTCAAAATTTACCACCCAGGGTTACGCAGGGTTTGTCCGTCTTCGGCTCCATTTACCAAGGTGCCATTTGAGTCCCTGTTTTGAGCCACAGCCAGAATGTGTGCCCAAAAGTTCCGCAAGGGGAACAAGGATACCCACTCATTTACCCTGGCCTTGCAGTATTTGGGGCCTCCACCATCCCTTGGTCATCAGCTCCTTAGGGGACTTAGATCACTTCGCCCGAGGCGCGGTGCCGTCCTCGCCGATGAGCACCTCCCGGGGGCAGCGCTGGCGGTCCCAGCACTTCTGCGTCCCCAGCGAGGCCAGGTCGCAGTAGCGGCCCGGCGGCAGCCCCGTCACCAGGCCTACCGACGGTCAGCAGGGGACATGAGTACTTGCTCAAAACTCGGTACCAAAAATGGTGAACCCAGAACCATGCTTCAAGAATGAAGAAGGCGGCCGCAACCGTTTCTGGTTGGGATTGTCCCTGACTAACCTCCACTTACCCGGGTTTGATTGTGACTCACATGGCTAGGTCGAACTCCATGGGACCTTTTCGGAAACCGGTCCATGATGAACATGAGGAAAGAGAAGAGGATGAGGTTTTCAACATAAGAAGTGAGCCATGGTCATTTGAGGGCCGATCAGGAACATTGATCAACGCCCCATATCTTCACATTTGCTTCCTTTGCTGTTTTAGCCGATGTCAAGCGGCTCCCGGATTTCCAGCCAACAGCACCGCTGTCCAATTCTTCAGCCACTCAGCTACCAGCAAATCACTGCCGAAAGCCTTGAGCAACCTGCGAAAGCCGTTCACCAAACAGGTGCCCTGTGCGGCTAAGCAGCCTGCAAGCCGCCAGTCACCCAAATCTCCCCAGTAGTTGGGCCAGCGGGTGTTGTGGCCACGCACCTGCAGCTCAAGGCTCTAAGAACATTGCCGGAGACTTCGGAAAGCTGTGTTTGCCTGCGCTCTTTCCCCGCCAACTTGAAGGTCTTTGTGAAAAGCAGCAGCCAATTTGTTGGGGGTATCCTCTTGAAAAGGGCGGCAAAAAGAACGCACACCTCCCCAACAACAAGGGTGAAAAGGCAGCAGAAAGCCCATACCTCCCCCAAAAACAAGGCCCCCCTCCAACCCCTCCCCGTCTCCACCCCCCTGTCCAATCCGGGCCCCGTGCTAGCGCCGCGAAGCACCCCTCGCCCGCGCGGAAGGCAAAGTGGCCCACGTCCGACCAGGTCTCCGTGATGGGAAGGCCCCGGCAGGCCTGCCACGTCACAGCGCGTGGTGCAGATGGCATATCTGTGTATATCGTTTTGCTACAGAACCCCAAAAAGCCAAGGGACGGCAAAAAAAACGGAAAACCCATCCAAAAAACGCGGAGCTTTTTCCGGGGTCGGCCCAAAAAAAAGATGAAACAAGGCGCTCCCCAGGTGAAACCATCCGAAACAAATTGAGCCAAGTGTGTCCAGTCCTTGCGGAAGTTCACGAGGCCTGCCACGCCCTCCCAGCGGTGCTCGCACACCCAGCCCTGCGGAGCTTGCTCTGAGCTGTGCGGGGGATGCCCTTCTTACAAGTGTTAAATAGATCAATACATAAACTGGTTGAATAGCAAGGGAACTCTTTAAGAAAATCTGCAATACACTATTAGTCTGTGGCAATCTGCAAGTATTCAACCACAAAACCCACGGACCTGAATTTTGTTTGGGGTTCCCTTGTTTGCTGTTTACCAAATATTTAGGGCATCCACCGGAGTGAGAGACGGCTCACATGGAACGTGGACCCTTTCCCCGAGCCTGATACTGGCCTTCCTCGAAAGACAAGGGCGACTCCTTAGGAGTCGGCATGCACCTGGTCCAGGTGCGAACGGCCCCCTCTAACGTCGACCCCATAATCTCATCCCCAGTTTATTCATAGGGGGTGTTCGGCCCTCCAAAATGTGCTCTTCCCCATCCAACCCAGATTTGGACACCCCCTCCCCTATGTTGATAAACTGGGGCTGAAATTCAACTATGGGGTCAGCACTACTTCCCAAAAAAGCACCAAATGGACACGCCCCCTATGTTTATAAACCGGGGTTGATGAAAATATGCAGTGAACCTTCCTTCTTCCCAGCGCCAATCTCTCCACTGGCCTGGGCTCCTCATCCTCGAAGAGGAACACTGGAAAGGGCTGGCACCTAAGCCCGAGCTTGGGAAAGCCCGAGACCAAAGATCACAGCGTGCGCGCACGTGAGCAAGCCGAAGGTCTCACGCTGTGCCCAGTTGGGCCCCAGAGATGTGGAAAAGGCGATCAATTTTTTGGGGGCCAGCAAAAATGGGAACTTCCCGATAGCATCCAACAAAACTAGCCACCCAAGAACTCAAGCCAAACAAGCCACCCAAAACTCCAAAGAAGAAACACAAGACAAACCTCCCAGCCACCCAAAACTCCTGCACTGGGCGACTCCCTCGACTCCGGTCCCCGGTCTCGTGGCCGCAAACTGGACTCGAGGCGCTGCCCGTTGCCGCAGCTCCCCGGCGGCCCCGCGTCCATGTCGCTGAAGGTGTAGCCCCCGAAGAGCCGCACCGCCACGGCCTCAGGCCACGCCTCGGAGATCACATCGGCAGATCGGACGCGGACGCTCGAAACCCAGGGGGGTGGGGCCATTTCCACAAAGGGGCGCTGATCCCCCAGCAAAAAGGTTCACATTTTGCTGGTTGAAAAGGACATATGAGGGGAATCCAAAAAGTTGAAGTCTAAAGATCCAAGCCAAGAGCAGTAGAGCACAAAGGGAACCATGAGGAACCGAACCCCTTGAGGTCAGCATCAAAACTGAGGCACAATCAAAAAACCTTCTTTCTTTCAAATGGTCCACCCAGAAACCTCATGTGAAGAATTTGCCAAGGAGGACGTCCGCACCCATTTCTGGCAAGAAGACTCCAAACACCCGGGTGTTGATTGTGACTTAGGTGTGGCTTACAAGAAAAAATGTAGCCCCAAAAATGTCCGAGATATGTCCCTTTTCTTTTTCCCAAAGGCAAAGCGACCCAAAAGGCAAAAGGTGTTGGTTCCCCACTTGTGTTTTTTTTGAGTTGGTACACTCTTTCTGTGGTCTTTAAGGGGAGACACCAGAAAGAATGAAAGATAAAAAACACCATTTTTGGGCTCCGACCTTAAAGAGACATACCCAAAAGATGGTGCAACAACATGAAGTCTGACGGCCAATTCCCACTCCGGCATCTTGCCGGATCGCCAGATCTGTTCACACTTGAATCGAAAGTCAGGCCGCCAGAAGGAACTTCTGCTGCTGGTGGAACTCCAGGCCGTTCTTGAACGTGGGCACAAAGCGATCCGCTTCGAAGGTCCTGAAGAAATCTTCTCGGCTCGGCTGATTTGACCCATGCTCGGCCGGAAAAAAGAAGAGAAGAAAGAGACTCGGTTCTGAAAACAGCTTGGCGGTTTGAGCACGCCTTCCCCCGTTCGCCTGGCATCGTGAAAGGTGAGCGGATAGACGGCCCGCTCAGGCGGAATTCCATCCAGTCCCGCAGAGATATTCAGGAGCTCCGCCATGTATTTGGCATCGCCCACGCCCAAAGCATTTGCGATTCTGAGCTTCAAGGTGTCACACAAAAGCTTCAACCTTCTAGTGCTCAGAAGGGGAATGACCCAGGGTTTTTGGGAATGAACCTAGGGATTCCCTGAAAAGAAAATCTAGGATATGGGTTACAGGCTGTAGGGGTCATGCCCTGAACCGGTCAATGGAAAACGTTGAACATTCTGCTTAGAGCCACTTCGCCCAAGTCTCTTGAGGCCATACTTCTGGTCCCGGAAATGGCCCACGGCATGCATTCGCGCCTCTGCCGGAACTCCTCCCCACCACTCCTGGTGCCTCAGAACATGGCCAAGCTGAAACGGCCCCATCCGCATCCACATAGAAGCAATCGCCGAGTCACACCAAGTCCCATGGAAGCTGGTTGACGATCCTCAGCTTTGCTTGCCCAAGCCATGGGTGTGGCTCTCAAATTTTGAGAGTGGGGTTTCGTTCCGGCCTTGGCCTTTGGAAACACAAACCAGGGGTGCCACTCCACTCCAAACTCGTCAGACTCGTCAGACTCGTCAGGTGTCGCCGCAAGGTCCTCCGTTGAGACGTAGCTAGCCGCATCCAGGCGAAGCATCGTCACCCCCAGGTCGTGCAGCTCCGTCAGGTGCTTCCCCAACGTGTCCCGCCTGCGAACACCAACAGGCTGTCTGCAAGTCCAAAACTTTGAGCGCTGCGGAAACTACCAAACCCGCTGAAAACCTAAAAGCCGGAGAAGAAAAAAAGACTGAGCACCGAACAGACCGGACGGCTGAGAAGAAGTGGACGCGAGTTTTCTCAGTGTCCGGCGTTGCTCGCTCTCTGCCAAGCTGCGTGGACTGAAGGGCCGTGTTCCAATCCTTGGGAAGGATTGCACCTGGGGGTCCCATTTATCGGAAAATATGATCTTTTTGATGGTCATCCCATTGCTGGAAAACATGCCATGTAAAGGACCTTTTGATCAACCCCCAAATATATTGCTGCAGAAACTGCGTGGCGTGCGCTTTCTCACTCTTTGTTTGCGTTCCTTTCTTCTGTCATGCGGTTTTCTTTGCATCACAAAGGTCTCGGCAAGTCAATGCCCTTTGTTCAACGCGCAGATCCCGCACCAGAATCGCGACGACCGAATCCTTCCCAAGGGTCCCTCAAAACTTATGTGCTTTGAGCACCCACAGGGCGTGACCAAATCGCCAGTTGTGGACGAAGAACCTGCAAAAAAGTGGGGTGGGCAGCAAAAGCGGGCGGCAAAAATGTCTGTCAACAGCTTCACAGTCGAGGCTCCGGCAGGCCCTTGAAGTCGCACAGGCTGCAGTCGCCAGCGGGCTCACTTTGGGGGCAGGTGAAGCTTGGCTCTTCCACCGGGCAGTTGCCCATGAGGTTCCCGGCGATGTTGTGAAACATCTCCGGCCCCTTCCAGCCATCCTGGCAAACCCCCTGGCTGACAAGCCCATGCTTTTTGCTCCAGACTCTAATACACACGGCAAATGTGTTCCATACATCCCCAGTTAGCAGGGAAAGTTCATGAATAAAACAAATCGACGCGTCAAGAGCGGAGAGAAGCGGTCACCGGGGTGCAAAATGTAAGGGGTAATCACAGGAATACACAGGCTACATGCCAACCGAATCTAGGAGAAACCTGGAGAAACCACCTGGCTTGAATGAGATGTGGCTGTGGGTCAAAACCAATGGTATTTTGGGGGTAGGTGAATTCACCCATTTTAGAACCGATTTTGGTTGGATTGAATCGGATGTTCACTGCCTGAAGCTAGAGGAGTCGAGAGAGTCGAGACCAACCGTGCAAAGTGATGCAAATATTGCGGACCTTTCATAGATTCAAAGCCACTTAGTTCCTCAATGCATCCCATGGCATCACCATAAAAGCCGCATCTACATGTTGGCTTCGTGTTCAGTACGGACCCTCTCTTTGCTTGTCTTCCTCCCTAGCTCCTTGTGCAAAGCTGCTATTGTTCTTGTTCAACTTGGGCAAACCGTCGAACAGGCCGTCCACTGTGGTCGAAACAGCTTGAGGGAAAAGCTTATCCATGCGCACAACAGCTTGGAGCGATCGCGCCTCGCTGTTGATGCGGCGATTGCCGTAGTTTGAGCCTGCCCACCCAACACAGGGCATCACGGCAGCATAGCCCGCAGACAGTGCAGCACTACATGGCGCTGCGATGTGGTTCAGGATGACATCCACCATGACCTGGCTAGCCGATTGGAACTAAAATATGCAGGTTGGAATCCAGCTGAAGAAAAAAGCCACCTGCGCTTGCTGACATGAAAATCACTGGCCCCTCCTGAACCCCAGCACGGCGGCAGGTGGCAATCATGTTCTTCAGCTGCTCTGCACTGCCACTGCGTGAATTCAATCCAAAGCCTCTCAAGTATGCTCAGGTGACTCGCAATCAAAACCTGGTATCAAAATGGCCTACCCAAACCAATGCGAAGAACTGCAAAGCGGATATCCGCACCCATGGCAAGGGGATTGTCCCTTACTTCCCCGGGTGTTGAGTGCGACTCATTGTGCAAATGTCTGCCCCATCTTCGAGCCCAAAAAAGAAACAGAAGGCAACCTGAGGCAAACTGGGCACCTACCGGCTGGTACTTGGTGTACCACTGGCTGCCGAGGATGTGCTCCGTGACCGGCGAGATTTGCACAGCATCAATGCCGTTCGGGCCCAAATAACGCGTACACTCCTGCGAGCGCAAGAAACAGCAAAACCTCTGCTACCCGCCAGCTGAATGCATTGCTGCCACTAAGAACACATCGAAGTTCCACAGCGCCTTGGCAATGTCATCGAAGTTCCACTCCCACAGTTGTATGTAGACAGGCGCCCTCAGGATGCAAAAACAAACTCCTCAGCCTGTACACCTAGCGCCCGCCTTCGCTCAAGGCCCTGCCGGCCCCCCATCGGCTCGTCATACTCGCAGAGCTCGCTAAAAACATCCTGCCAGCAAATGCTGCTTGCGGATTTGTGTTCGTGTACGCAGGCGTGCAAGGGCATGGGTAGGGTCGGTGTGCTTAACATAAGGCAAGTGTCCTTGTCACCCGCACCTGTGGCCGATTGCAGAAGGGCATCTTTCCTCCCACATTTCCAGATTTCGCACTGCCTCGGCTCGAGTCAGACAGATTTCTCGATTCAAGAAACCTAATGACTGGTCTTTCTTGCTCTGCTCATGCTTCAAACCAGCCGCTATGGGTTGCCTCTAGACTCTATCTGAAGCTGTGCCTTTGATTTGGTCGATATTCTGCTTGCTGTGCTTAGCCAAACTGTTGCTTGGAATGTCGGGTCGCAGGGTGCAATGCGCAAGCGCTGCTTCCGAGAGCATATCCTCTCAGCCAAGGTGCCCCACAGCGAAAACAAAGGTATCGCCTGGCATGGGTGCATCGCGTGTAGGAACTGTAGCTTCCTTGTGATCCTTTGGTCAACTATTAAACCTTCTTGCATGCCAAGGGTTGCTGCCATTCCCGTGTTCCTCCACAATCAGATCCAATGGTACCCTGAGAATACCATCGTCAGAGATTGACATGCCCTTGAAAAAGAATTTTGCCCTTACATGGTCGAATTTCACACCATGCACGCGACTCAAATCAGAGCAAAGCATGCAACTGGCAAGGCATCGTTCTTGCCCCCGCCTTTGAGGCTACGAGTATGCTGCAGGCATGCCCGCTTGCCAGTGGTCTCCTGATGCGCAGCGGTCCAAAAGCGGCAGCCGTCCGGAAAGACAAAAACTCAACGAAATGACGGCAACCACTTCAAACTGAGGCGACGCAGCCCTCGGAGTACGGGAGACAGTTCAAGCTGAAATGAGTGGAGTGGTCACAACATCGGCTCCGACGTGGGTCTCCTGGCCATACCTCAGGTCAAGCGGGAGAGGAAAAAAAAAAGTTCCAAGCTAACCAGCGAGATGCTGGTTGAGCTGGAATTCTGCGCCGGTCTTCACTTCCAGTAGACTGCAGCTGGATCCCTCCAACCTCGGAAGCCGGATTTCCAAACCTGCGCTGTCCTCAGATCCCTGCTAAAAGTTCATCTTGTGGGGTGACCGTTTACCCCCACACCCCGCAAGCCGAAAACAAAAGGAGTTGAACCGGACGGCCGGGAACCCGCACAGGCCGCGCATCTGGTCAAATCTTGTATGTTTCCACACGCGAAACGCCCTCGTGCTTGTTTCATGATCCTTCATTTCATCGCAAGGCATCTCGTGTGAGCGGGGGGGTGAGGGGGGAACTGCCTGCCTGGCCTTGCCATATCTGGCCTCATTATTTTACCATGATCAAAGTCGCCCTCTAAGTGGTGGGTTCAAGGCAAACAACCACATTTTCTGACTTTGATAACCCCCAGAAGTCAAAATCGTGACCCAGAATCATCGCCCCATTTTCCTCGCCAGGCCGCGGCGCCAGGTGGCACCTCCGCACGGGAGACAATCCTCCCACCTGCGGCTGCACGCCGCAGCGCTTCAGCGAGACCTGGCAGATTTCGCCATTGGCCGCGAAGGCGCCCAGGTCCAACGCCACGCGTCCTGCCGAAAAGGAAATAATTTGGGGGGTCCCCTAAAAAGGTACACAGGGGACCCTCAAGAATGTAGGCTCACGTGCGCGTATCTTCATTTTTGCGGGTTGTTGGTATTCACAGGGGGAAACAGAGGAAAGCCCAAGGAAACTCCAGGAAACTCAAAGAAGCGCAGGGCAATAAGCACGACATGAATCGGGCTGGCTGTCCTACATACTTGAATTCCGATGGCCCCAGTCCTGGATGGCAATGGATCAAACAAATCGATCGCGATGCAAACGGCAAAAGTGGGCGATGTCAATGTCAATTCGGGGGTTCTCCAGTGACTTCTGTTTCTTTGGGCGTGCCCTTTTGTTTGAAGCTTCCCCTTGTCCTTTTTGGGGTGGGGTTGAAGAGAAACCAAAGAGACAATTCCAGTGACCCCTGTAAGGGCCATCTCTTCGCCGGGAGGCGGAAGTTGAAGCACTGCGCCCGGGCCGAATCCCCGCTCAGCGTCATCTGGCTGCGCACCCCGCCGCCGGCCACCGCAAAATTCAACGCCCCATCTGCATCTACGGCGAACTGCAACATCCCGGCCTCCAGGGCACGTATGACGAGCAAGTTGTTCGTTTTTGTTTCTTTGTTGTTTTTTTCCATGAATGCAAGACATGGCACTCAATGTGAGCAGATTGAGATGACAAACATCACTTCACACTGCCCGTCGTAGGCATAAGGACTGGCAGGTATATACATACAGACAGAGAGAGTCACATGTATTGGCACGGATAAACTTAAATGAACGACGTGTGTGGAACGCAGAGCCTGGCTGGATGATGCTTGCACGCAGAGGCTGTAGAATGCAGGATCTTCACCACCTTCCAGGTCGGCCAAGGAAACGAAAAAGAGCTTTTGTCTTTTCAGCAGTGCCTCGGCAAAAATCTCTACACCATCCTCTCACTAATAGAAGGCGTTTGTGGGAGGGTACCAAGATCAATTTCCTCAAGTTGGACCCTCGGTGCCACTAGCAACGTGGGAGGGTCTCACCGCAACTTATTGGGGGAGGTGTTCCCCTCCAAAAGTGGCCTGATTCCCACATTTCAAGCACGGACACACACCCCTATTCATGTTGGCATTAGGGGGTTGAGCAATACTCCTGACCCCAAAAGGAAGGGTAACTTTTCCCATGTGATTGAAATCTCCTCTTTTTCTCGTGGTCTTACCCTCATGGGTCCTCCCAGTGGTTCCCCGGACCTGTTCAACCCAAAAGACTCCCTACGCCTTGGTCCAAGGTGACGGGCTGCGTAAGCTGCACGTGCCAGGGCGTGTCATCTCCGTCGTTCACCGGTTGAATCGCAACTCCATTGCCAGTGAACTCAAAGCTGGCAATGCCTCTCACACGCAATGGAAAGTCTGACTGCTTCGCAGAAACACCACAGGGGTGTTGCTTTTTGTTGAGGCTACCCCTTTTTTTTGTTGTTAAGGGAAACCCAAAACAAAAACAAAGAACACACACAGCGATTTGGACAATGACTGCTGCACCAGCCAGTGGTTCAAAGCCGCCTGCATCCTTGAGATACGTACCCCAGATTGCAGAGCTCGCAAAGGCCGAATCTGACAGCAGCTCACGACTCAAAGATTCTGACCTGGCAGGGAGGCCAGTCCAGTCGCTGGAATACAAAAAAACATGTACAATGTACAAACAAGGCACCGCACTCTCCACACATGTTTTCCATTTCGGATCATTCTACGCAACATGGCCCTCAAAGCGAACACTGCACACGCACAGGCTACGGATGGCATGTCCAATACAGATCAGGCCACGGGCATCCCCAATCGTTGTGCAGAGAGATCTGCTCGGTGGGGCAAGCCTGCAGAATCCTGCCAGCGAATGCCAGGTGGAAAATGGAGCCAAATGGCCATGGGTCAAAACCCCGTACCCCAGTGAACATCCCAATCCCCACTAAACTAGACTAAAATGGAGGTGCACCTACCCCCAAAATGGTACCATTGGTTTTGACCCACAGCCAAACGACCTTGACTTTATGCCGCTAATGACCCTGTCGGTGAATCCAGTCAGGCACGCGCACCAAGCTCCTTGAGCAAAGAAGCACCACTTGCGCTACAGACGTGAACATCGCTGCGCCCATGTTCATCACAAGTGTAAAGTGCTGATAGTGAACCTGTTGAAAGTTGGACAAGAGATCAGTGAGCAAGTGCATGCTGTATCAGAATTGCATATTCCTTCAGCCGATTCCGCCTATGGCCGGATGACAGGCCAAAAAATGTCAATTTAACTTGAACCTAGCTGACAAAAGACTGGTGCTGATGTTGCTCGAACCAAACCATTGCTGCGAACAACATGCACAAGATTCGACACCAGTCGACTCAAGCGCCGTGAGGGCGAATCGCATGAAAAACAAAGTTGCAAAAAGTGTTGCTTCTAAACGAGGCAATTGGTGAGGAAACCCTGTGCCAGGAAGGAAAAATGTTGCTCGGGCTCGTTGTCTGCTGCATCTGCGTGTTACGAGACGCTATTCGCAACAGAATCATTGTGTGTTCTTAGCTAGCTGTTGAATCAGTGTCAAATCCCTCGTGTCAACCACAGAAATCAAGTGGGTGTGATTGCTTCATGTTGAATCATGCTTGCTTGCGTTCTGCTGACGCTTCCATGCAAACCCTGGCGCCCGCCGTCGCAAGTTTCCATCACAACTCACCTAGGACTCCAATGACATCTGGGCCCAAGAAGTGGAGTATCAGAAAGCTGCAAATGGGACAAATTGCCCTCCCTCGGGCCAACATAGAAGTTCCGAAATTGCTAACTTTTCCTTGCGAACCGAAAAGCGCCTCATCGGTAACACATGGTCTGTTGCCAAGCGTTCCAACAGCAAACTCACAAAAGGTTCATCCTGATGTTTCACATCATGCACACACACGAGTTTGAGTGGGTGCTACAAACGTAAACCTTTATCACCCCGCCTTTGCCATGTGGCTTTGCCATGTGGCAATCTTTCAAAGTGGCGTTTGGGGAAAACATGCTCGCCTTTCAGTCGCTACAGCCCTACAGCTCAAGACGCTATACACTTGTGAAAAATCCCTGGCCATTTCATCAAGCCAATATGGGAAAATTCTGGACTCATCTCCCAATGCAAATCCATCCATCTGCCATGCACATAGGAATGAATATCAACTGCACTCACTTCCTGAACCATCTGATGTCAACGTCTCACCAGTCAACGGATTTATACCTTCTTCCCTCAGTTGATCTGCCCACGTTGTGTCGTCCAGATAGCTGCTGCTCCGGCTCATTGCTTCAGGATCTCGTCTTGCAAACTCAGCATCGCTGATCTCCTTGCTCTGCTGTCGCTCCACCGCTCTCTCAATGATCACGAATCGTCCAATCCACTCCTGAATTTGTCCTTTCACAACATCCAGTTCATGCCATATCCAACTCATTTGTCGAGTTTCGCGGTCGTCCTCTCGCAAAGCTTGCATCTGCGAAATTATATCTTCCACACTGTGATGTAATCTCTCCAGTCTGCTCTGAAAGTCTTCTCCATCTACAATACTTCGGCACCCTTCCATGCATCTCTCATACACCTTTCTCTCACGGGGCTCCAACCATTTAAGAAATCCAATACATATCAGAAATCCACACACGGCATATAGTGTCCGAATATTGCAAATCACATTCAATACATATTGCAAATGTACATACACAATCACGCTGTCTCCATGTTCCAAGCTTCCTGCCATTGCTTTTCCTGACAGCTCCAATAATAACGCGTACATCAGCTTCTCCTTCATGTTGCATCCAATCACTGTTGCATGCTCTCTCTCAAGTCTCCTCACACTTGATTCACTCGGCACAATCACTCTGAACACATCTTTCATCGCTCTTCGCCTCTGAAGAATATTCCGAATCTCCTCCAGCTCATCTGCGCCATATGGAATCTCATTTCCTTGCCTAATACCAATCAGGCATGCCAAACCTTTCATCCTGGCTTGACTCAGCAACTTTGTGTTCAGATCTGCTGGGTTCAACTCTGTAGGCACTGGCCTTAAAACGCACTTCTTGTCAGCTACTGCTTTCTGAAGCCATAGTGCACGTGTTGACAAGTGTCTGGTCTTCGAAACTCCAAGCCTCTCGCCCACCTGTCTTGCTCAAGAACTATCTCCTCAGTTCCAGCTTCAGCTTCATGTCCAAAAGATATTGCATCAAATCATGAAGTAGCAGTCCTTCGGACAAGCCTGACGTCATAGCATAATACTCACTCTCGCATGACGAAAGTGCTATAGCTCTTTGCTGCCTCACATAAGCATACATCAAACCTCTGCCGCAGAAAATCATGGCAGAACTCATTGACTGTCTGTTCTCCTTGTCGCTTGCCCAATCTGCATCCGTGAAAATCTGCACGCTTGCACCTTCAGCAGGTTCCCCACCATTTGCCAATACTGAACAAGAACACGGCTTGTAAGGAAGAAGTAAACCCACATCCTGTACAGTTGTCAGAAATCCCACATAATGCACTGCTGCCTTTACCATCTTGACAGTCGGCTTCGACATCTTCTGCGCCAATCTATTGATGACCCACTGACAAAACGGTATGTCAGGGTAAATATACAAAAGCTTTCCCACAATGCTTCTGTGCGCCTTCTGCTTCTCCCCTGAAACTTCCTCCAAATTCTCCTTCTCAAGGATGTCTCCCTGCGCTGGCGTCTTCCTTTCTCGCACACTTCCCAGAACTGCTGCTTGCTCAGCCAAATCACGGAAATGTCTTGGGTCTGCTCTCACCATCAAACCATCTTCTGAAAATGAAAACTACGAAAATTCATCTCCAGTATCCATGAATGGTCCTTGCACTTTGATTTCCACCTGGGCTCCAAACCGCTCCAAAAGTATATTCACCTCCTCCGGCATCCCACACATGAGCAAATCGTCCACACGCGTCTGAACTCTCACTGACTTCAGCTCACCTGTGCCCTTGAATAGCACCGGACAAGGCACGCACACTTCCATTCCACTCTCCTGTAACAGTTTGGTCGCAAGCTTGCTCCATTCGCTTGTGCCCTCTCTCTGCCCCGGCAACAATCTGTTCAGCTCCCACACGCACCCTTCATAGCCACTGAGCTGCTGTGGCGCTGTAACAACAACTTTGCCTGGCTGTGGAACATTCAAAAATGCATCCTTCACGTCAATCACGTATAAAGGTAAACCTGACTCAACTGCAACTAATAAAACTGCTCTCTGCACATTTGGACTTGTGGCCGGCGAACACAGTCCCGATCTCGTGGGGTCCTGCGCCTTGAAGTTTCTGGCCACCATCCTGCTCCTCCTGTACCATTTTGAAACCCCGCCTTCCTCGCGCTTCCTCCAGTCTCTGACAATTATAGCGCTCATGTAACGGGTTTCTGCATCCAGGTTTCCTTTCTCACATACAGGAATCAAAACTGCACCTCCTGCAAAATTCGGTTGCTGCAACCTTTCAATCTCAACCCTATCGGCTTCTTTGTCTGCTTCTTTCAACTCTTCCTCTGAGTTAAGGCATGTTGCACTGCTCCTAGCTTGAACCCAAACATGAAACCCCAAAAGAACAAAGCACGTCCGAAGCGGCCGCAGTTCTTTTTACCGGGATTGCTGAAAGTAGCACTGTTTCCAGGGCACTGGTGCGCCTGGAACAGGAGGCGCATTGACCCCCCCTTCAGTGTTTCAGGCAACCCCGGTATAAGCCGCAGGCCTCATCACCCGCCCTTCAGAGTGGGGTTGTACCTGGCAGGGCAACTGCTAGCGTGGCCATGCACGCTTTGGCTGTGAGCAGCCTGTGACGCAGGATCTGCACTTTTTCCGGTCAGAGCGGCTTTATATAAGCGGCTGGCTGACTTTGCCAGTTGTTCTGGCCGACAGGGCGACGGCGGCCATTTGGTCGCAAGGCATGTCGGGATGCAAACAAGGCCGGCTAAGCAGCGACGGACGCTGCTGCCAAATGCTCCGGGCGCCAGCTCGCGGGTCCAAGCGGCCCGCGCGGGCGCAGTTCGCTCACAGCGGCCTCGGCGCTGGGAGCGCGCGGCTCCTCCAGAGGCACCGCCCGGACAGCGCTGAGCGCCAGGCGGCCCCGGATGCGGTCAGACAGCTCGGAGATCATGGCGCGAATTGGTTTGAGCTGAATAAATTGCTTTCTATAGAAAAATAATAAAATATTCAGTCGGTCGGACGAGCGCTTCTTTTTTTCTGTCCGGGATTCTGTTCAGTCTGTGCCGCGTCACAGCGAGTCGGCGGTGCTGCCCTGCAGGTTCAGCGCAGTGAGGAGCTCTCTGGAGGCTTGCGCGCCTTCTCAACCCGCTCCAAGGCGGCGAGGGTTGCGCTCTTGGCCGCCAGCGAGAGCGGCAGCCGCCCAGCGATCTTCTTGCTGACGAGCTGCTCCTCCACCTCGTAGAGCTCTCTCTCGATCTGCGCCAGCGAGGCGATGTCGCTCGTGCGAATGCGGCGCTGCCTCAGGGCCTCGCGCTTCTCGCGGAGCGTCTCGCAGCTCTCCTCCTGGCGCTCCTCGGCCACCGCGGGAGCGGAGCAGCGGGCCGTGCGCTGGTTGAGGCGCTTGCGAAGCTTGAGCCGAAGCTCTTGGGCATGCTTCAGCATGTCCCTCCAGTCCTGCATGTCGACCTCCTCCGCCGGGAACCTGCCGGCGACCCCGTCAGCCAGCAGCCGCTCCAGCACGGGCGCTCCCCGAGTAAGCTCGTCACGCAGGCGGCTCACCTCCTCCAGAGAGGCTCCCCGCTTCAGCGCATCGGCATCGACGACGGCCCTCAGCAGAGGCCTCAGCTGCTCGCGGCGCTCCAGGATGTGGGTGGTCATTCTGAATTTTTTTAATGAGCAAAAAAATGGCTGCGGCATCGGAAGAAACTAGAGCGGGCACTTGCGAGACGGTGGCTCCACACGCAGATCCGTGACCTCAAGACTCAAGCCGCACATGCCGCTCATCAACCACAAGCTGCGCGCTCTCAGCCGAACGCGCGCGGCGCAGTGGGCCAACTCAGCGGGGCGGTCCGCAAAGCCGCCGGCGTTCCAGAAGCGCGCGTGGGCCGGCAGCTTGGCCTTCAGCATCCAATCGCCGCCGCGCGATTGCCTCACAGAGGGCAGCAGCCGCTGGCCAACGGCCTCGGGCGTGAGCTTCGCG